AGGTGGCCCAGAAGCCATGTGGCCACCTGTGCAACGCACTAGCAAGGTGTGGACGGAGTGCATTTACGCTGTAAAATCAGTACTCTCCATTTGTCTGAGGTCAATGCCCGGGCTAATTCCAGTCTTCAGAGGTGACTTACAGTGTCAGGGAAACATCTGATGCTTTCCAGAATGACCCCTGGAGTGAGGAGGGAGGCAAAACACTGGCCGGTGTCACCTGGGATATGGACAGCTGTCTGCTGGGGGTCCACTGGGGAGGTTCCCCTAGTCCCGACCTTCCTTGCAGAAGCCCTGAACAGGGGAGGAAGGAACCACCTATCTCTTAAATAAGTTACCCTTCTGCTTGGCTTGTTGCTTTCAGTATCCATACTTCAAAAAGAAGGCAGAAAACCTAAATGAAGTGCAGGAGACTCTACCAGTAGTCTCCCTTCAGTTATGGAAGATACATTCCAAGACCCCCAATGCCTGAAACTTGGATTGTGCTAGTTCCTATCTGTGTGATACTTTTTATTTACACATACATACCTTTGACCAAGATTAATTGATACTTTAAGCACAGTTAGAGGTTGACAGCAGTGGCCAATAGTGAAATAGAACAAATAGAGCAGTAAATGGTGATAAAGTTTCCCTGTCGCTACTGACGTAGTCAGGCAACGTAAGGAAGAGTTGTCGGTAAGTACTGTGATGCTGACAGTGTTTTGTTGGCAAGACAGGGCTCTGTCACCAACAGGCAGGTCACACGTCCAGTGTTGATCTACTAGATATAGGTAATTCCTGTCCAGGGGCCGGTGTGATACTTCACAGTGCTCCTGCAAACGCCGTGCAACTTACACTGGGCCGATTTTCTATTTCTGGAGCCCTATGTTTAATATTTTTAGACCACGATGGCCAAGGGTGACTGAAACTTGAGAGAGAAACCGTCAGTATGAACTGCGGGAAAGGTTGAAAAAGTCAACTCATTTGCCTCTGAGGAGGCCACAGAGGTGCAGGCGGTCATCTTGGACGGCGTGTCTTCTCAATGGGCGTGTGATGCTATAAATGTCCATGAAACCAACACGAAGGGGCTTGTGTAGAGGACATTTCTTTCTGGCTGTTAAAAAGAGTATAGGGTCTGGGGTTGGGGCTCAGCTGCTTTGTTTCTGATCCAACTCCCTGCTAATAAACTTGAGAAGGCAGCAAAATTGGCTCAAGTCCTTGGGTCCCTGCCACCCACGTGGGAGACCTGCATGGAGCTCTGGGATCCTCGCTTCAGCCTGACCTGGCTGCTGCAGCGATTTGGAGAGTGAGCCAATAAATAGAAAATCTCTCTCTCTCTCCTTCTCGGTCCAAAATACACAAAAGTAATTTTTTTTTAACGAAGAATTGAGAATGTTAGAACTTCAGGGGAGTTCAGGACAAGTGAGTCCTATCCCTTGTGTTCCAGGTGAGTAAAAGGAGGCCCAAAGATGAGCTCAAGTTCACCCAGGTGGCTGGGGGCAAAGTGGTGGCTCTAACCTGGGTCTCATAGCCGCTGTGGCTGTGTCCACCGAGATCTCAAGCCAAACAAGAGAGAGTGCTGTGGAAGGAGCCAGACACAGGATCCCTGATCAGTGCAGAAAGCTGAGATAACTTCAGGTTCTCCAGCAATGGCTGGCTTAGGAGCAGATTTTGTAGAACAAAGCAAAAATGACATGACCAAGGTAATAAGAAGGCATAAAACGCAGGTTTGTTCGACACGCTCAAAGTCCAAGAGCCCTCGGAAGACTGTTGGAGCAGTTTTTGGGCTGTGAGGTGAGGGACAGGTACAAGGCAGTGACAAATGGGATGTGAATGAAACCCATGGCCATGGTGGTGCCAACACTTGGGAGGATCCTGCTCCTGCACAAAACTGCCTGACAACAGAGAAGCCATCTGTGTCTTGGGGGAATCCATAAATTGCTGGGTGGAGAGTGAGGACTTCTTATCTCCACATTGAAAAGTGAGACTCAAACATGACAGAGTCTCATTGTTAGTCAACAGCAAAGTCAGAATTTAAAGCTGCCTATCTGGATTTCTTACTCTCCTTTCAACAAAACCATACTCCCCCCCCACACACACACACCCTCACACACACAGAGATCCACACCCTCATGCACACACACACACACACACACACACACCAGAGAGGAAGGGCTTTACAATTCCGGGATGCCAGTATCCTGGAATGAAAGGCCAGCTGGGAGCTATTTTTAGGGATCAGAATGCAAAGCTTGCTGAGAGTGTTGGCTTCTGCTGGCAGCTGGCTCTGACTTGGTGTGCACACCCTAGGATCCCCGGACACGTCTCCTTCATGGCAGGTCACCGAATGCACCAAGGGGAAGTTACCTATGCTTGACCCAGCAAAGCACTTTTGATTGACCAAACCATGAAGCTGTGTTTAAGTCCATGCAAAAGATGGAGCTTCTGAAAGGCAGCTGGAGCCTATGGGACTGTTATTATGTGTTTATGTTTCCTGAGTATTACAGCCCTTGGACCCTCTGGTTATTTCCTCCCTCTAGGCATCATGTTTTGAAAGATTCTGTTTGCTAAGCCAACTGCATTTACTTAAGAAAGATTTGTTTTTATTTGGAAAGTAGTTATTGAGAGAGAAAGAGTGAGAGATCTTGCATTTGCTGGTTCATTTCCCAAATGCCTGCAGTGGCCAGAGTTGAGCCAGGAGCCTGGAGCTTCTTCCAGGCCTTCCACGTGGGTGCAGGAGTGCAAGCACTTGAATAATCCTCTGCTGTTTTTCCCAGGCTGTTATCAGGTAGTTGGATCAGAAGTAAAGCAGCTGGGACTAGAACTGGTGCCCATATTAGATGCTGGTGCTGTGGGCAGAGGCTTATCTTGCTAAGCCACAGCACTGGCCCAGTGCATTTATTAAATAATAATAATATATCTCCTATTTTAAAGATGGACGTACATCAATGAGTATCCTTAAAAATATAAAGCGACAACAATCCAACTTCCAGTAGGCTTTGGAAATGTTGGCTGTTGTTTAAGGACCTTGTTACCAACCACCCACTCCTGGGATTCCCTGTCCTCTGGCTTCAGAATCATGGTTTAAATACTCACATGACTCACTGTGCTAGCTGAGGAACAACAGTGAAATGAAAAAGGCAGCAAGAGTAAGAGAAATTGCTGGACATCTGTGGATCTGGGGGGTAATACGTAAGACAGATTGTCAAGGTTGGGCAGGAAGATGTGGGGCAGCTGGGTAAGCTGCCACCTGTCATTGCAGCATCCTCTATGGAGTGCCAGTTCAAGTAGGCTGCTTCAGTTCCAGTCCAGCTTCCTGCTAACATGTCTGGGAGGGCAGTGCAAGATGAACCAAGTGCTTAACTCCCCGCATCTACTCATGTCGAAGACACAATGGACGTCCAGGCTCCTGGCTTTGGTCAGCCATTGCAGCCATCCAGGGGGGAACCAGAGGAGGGAAATCCTTTTCTCTCTGTCTTTCCTTCTCTGTCTCTGTCACTGGCTTTCAAATGAATAGAATAATGGTAATACAAAAAATCATGACTACAGACAGAGGTGCAAAGATGAACTTCAGGTTGTAGGACAGACAGGTGAAGCGGTGCCGAGAGTTTACTGAGCTCAAGGGCAAAGCTGTGAGGATGGGAACTGGAGGCTAGAGAGGGGCTTGAAAGAAGTCGAGATGCAGCACACTCATGTATATGCATATATATAAAGGGAATAAGAGAATTAAGGGGAAAGAGGTAATGTGAGGTTTGGAATTAATTATTCACTAATTCCAGAACAGAATTCTGACACTAATTGAGTAGGCACCAGTGCCAGTTTGCCTGTGTGTGAGTTACAAGTCGCCCCTGCCAAGTGGACATAATTATACAGAGGCAGGCCCTGAGAAGCAGCGGGGCACGCACAGCCACTGCTCCTGCTCAAGCAGCAGACGGGCTCAGCCAGGCCAGCATGGTGCTTCGTTGTTTTTGCCTGGTGTCTGATGGCAGAAAACTAAAAAAGACGAACACATCAAGTTTTCTTAATTCTAGCTAAAAGATTGGGTGGGAAGCCCTGTATCAACATAAAAAGGTATTCCAAATGGAAAAGGGATTATTTAAAAAAAGAAAGTGCTTGTAAGGAAGAAATTGGCCAAATGGAGAAGAAAGACCTGGGTTCTAAGTAGAAAGTAAGGATCGCGTTTGATCCACTGTGTTGTTATTGAGTGCATGCTATGCAGCAGGGACTGGAAAGTCGCTAAACAGACATCAAGGGAAAGCCACATGAAGAACAAAGGAATTCAAAAGATTTTTAAGGGCAGGCAGGAAATGGAAGCATCTGGACTAAGCAAAAATGTCGTGTGGAATGTTTTACATTACCAAGCGACTGCCGAAAGCTAATATAAAGATTTGGGGTTGGAGAGGAAGCGTCTAGTCCTGGAAAGGAGAAACAGCAGCTGCTCTTGAGAACAGCAGAGTGAGAAGCTTCCAGAGCCAGCTGGCCAATGGCATAGGGCAAAGAGTGGGCAGACAACAGCGTGCAGTGTTGCCACCTTGTCAAGGCCAGGGCAGACACAGAAGGGCTCGGTCTTGGATGAAGCTCCCTGGAAGAGGAGGACCCGTGCTGGCTGGGCGAGAGGGGACGGAAGGGAGAAGTGGAGAAAGCTGGGCGTTGGCTTTGACTGCACTGAGAGGAAGCAAACACAATGGGTGGGTATTCACGGAGGGATTTGGGGAGTTGGGTATTGGGAGATTATACACTTTGCAGTAAATAGCTCTTGTGACTTCAGCATGCACTCCATGAAGATTGTACCCCAAAAGGCTCCCAAGAAAATCATAGGCAGCTGTCCTTCGCGGCTGCTGATGTGGTACCCCACCTCCAGGCCAGTCACTCAAGCCCCTGGGTTTGGGGTGCCCTACACTTTGATCCCTCTGCAATGTTTGGGTGGGGGAATGACACACACATGGTATTGATAGTACTTGCTCTGGTGGGTGTTGAGTGTTTTGCCAAACCTGACCGTTTTCGTCCCTGACCTTCTGTTGTAGCTCACCAGAGTGCCCGTGGAGTCCTGTGGTCAGTACCAGAGCTGCAGCGAGTGCCTGGGCTCGGGCGATCCTCACTGTGGTTGGTGTGTGCTCCACAACACGTGAGTACAGTGGGCAGACAACGCTTGCCTCCCACCCTGTCACCTGTCACCACCCTCCTCTCCTTGCCTTTTCTCATCCTCCATCCTTCCATCCTTTGCAAATGGCACCTCCCTTCCTGGTTCTTGCTGTCTTCGTAGTAAAGTTTCCCATCGCCACAAGAGATGTGTGGACATGGCAGGACAGCGACACGAGCACACTGGAGAATTGTAGGCTGGATGCTGGCGGAGGAGCAGCTCCTGGCCTTTCCTCAGTGACTGACTGGCCAGGGACAAAGCATTGGGCTTTTCAAGGTTCATGTGGGACTGAGGTACAGCCCACCTTCTGCCTGCAATGTCTCCATAGACTGTTTTAGTTTGAGGATGTTTGTAGCACCTGAGGACCCTTCCTCTGTCATCATAACCACTCTTAGCCCAGGTGTCAGAGTACATGGACCTGGACCACTAAGCTGGGATGGCTCAGCTCCGTGCTCAGCACCCCCATACACCTCTTGTGCTGACTATTATATTCTCTGGCAGATGGAAGAAAACATTAGTTTATAGGAAAGACAAGTGCTGGCTTGGCAAATGAACTGAGAGGATAAAGAGCTGGATCAGCTTGTTGGGGGAAGCGGAAGGCCTTTGTCTGGAATTCCAGGACCCCTACAGAGGACTACCTACAGAGCCACCAAGAGCTGGACCCCACTCAGGTAGAGTCTAGTACCCACATAGCCACCAGCACCACAACTTGGCACTGTGAGTTGGACACACATTTAAACACAGGATGTGACCAATGAGCAGGTGTGAACCTTGTCCCCTCTCCCCCAGGATGTCTCTGAAAGTTCAATGTGTCCCCCTTTAATGTTGATCCATTTGAAAGGCAGAGTTAGAGAGAGAGGCACACGAAAAGTATCTTCTGGCTCACTCCTCTGATAGCTGCAAGGGCCAGAACTGAGCCAAGCTGCAAGTCAGGCACTCCATGCAGCCCTGCCTCATGTGTGGCAGGGACCCAAGCACCTGGGCCATCTTGTGTTGCTTTTCTCTGGCGCGTTATCAGAGAGCTGGGTCAGAGCTGGAGTAGACAAGACCAACTTTGCAGCCATAGAAGATGCTGACACCGCAGGCTCTACCACAGCACCAGCCCCCGACACACCTTTTCTAGGAACAGGCATGGTTCCCGAGACCAAAGGGACACCCGCAGGCATGATGAGTCCTTGAGTTCATAAAGGGAAGCTCTGAGGGCCTGTTCCCTCTCCTGTGAATTGGATGTGGCGATACCCTCTTGTCCTTCTTGCTGAACCCATTCAGAATCAAGGGCGATGCTGAGGGTGGGTGAAGGTGCCTGGTGGCTATGGAGCCTGTGACGTGCGACGTGGGGAGCCCTGAGCAGGCTGGGGGAAAGACAGATCAACGAGGCCCTGGTGCTGGTGCCTTAGCTGCAGTTCCGGCTGAATGCACATCTCTTCCTGTGTGTACAACGGCCTCACACTACTTTGTTGCCCCAAGTGGTGGGTGGAACTGCTAGAGTCCCCTGGCCCTGCCTGCTTAGCCCAGCAATGTGTCCTGTTCTGAAGTTTGCACATCTTACCGGTGTGTGTGTGTGTGTGTGTGTGTGTGTGTGTGTGTGTGTGTGTGCGCGCGCGCGCGCACGCACGCGCGTGAGTGAGCGCAAGTACACCAGGCCAGGCTGTGTCCCCAGGTCTCTCAGACCTGTGTGTTTCTCCCTTTGGGTTAGGCCATGTACCAGGCTCGAGGACACAAACCTTGAAGCTTTCTGAAGCTTCTTGGAAGCTGTGGGCTGCGGTCTGTGCAGCCCCTGGGCCAGGTCCACCCTGGGCAAGACCCTGAGCTGAGTAAAGGACTCTGGCTCTTGCTACGGGATCCAGCCTAACGCTCAGGAAGACCACAGGAAAGGGCAGCGGAAACCATTTCCTTCATGTGTGTCAAGACAAGTCTGCTTTCTCAGTCATTTCTGCTGATGATCCCCTTGGCTGTGGGGACAGATGGTGGGGACAGCCAAAGGGGTGAGGGGATGGGTGTGTGAGAAAGAAACAGACCAGTAGCAAGAGAGGCGAGTGAGAGCTAGAAGAGTGGCAGGTGCATACTTGCGATTGCAGAGTTGAAGGGTGGAGCGACTGTGGCAGGTGTCTCCAGTGTCTGAATGGCTGTTTGTACTACGGAGATCCAGGTGGACTGCAGACAGAACAGGCCTAAGAAATGCTTCTGTAATTTCAGTCCTCCCTCTTGCTGTCCTCGATTCCCATCAACTGCTCCCCTGCGACCCTGGAGTAGGGAGGGTCGTGGTGCCCTCTGGCTCACCTGCTTCTAAGTCCAGCTTCAGCACAGAAGGCAGTATTTGGCACCGTGAGCCATTGTGCCCGCTGGCTTGGGTGAAGATTAATGCATGCCCCTTGGCCTCCCCTCCCTTGGCCCTCCTCTCAGGACTCCAGGCCTTCCTGCAGAACCGGCCACGTCGACCGGCTCTGATGCTGCTGTGGAAAGACATCAGCATCACTCCTGGGAGGCTCTTGTAGCCTGTGATGTCCCAGGGGAGAGATCAGATGAGCTTTTGCGAGGTCCCTCTTTCTGACCCCCACCACCTAACCTCCTCCCAGGTTTTTCCTTTTTGGAAGACTAGCCCCTGGGTGGGTGGGTGGGTGGGGGTGGGCTCCTGCCCAGGATTCCCTTGCTTTCATGTTTTCTACCAGGGTGGAGGGCAGGGTGAGAGCTGACCCTTGCCCTCCCCACTCCCATATCTGGCAGAGTCTGTGTGTACACACAGCCCCAGCTCAGGCAGCTCGCGGCCCCTTGGTGTGAAACGGTGGTCGGAGTCGGCCAGAAGCACCGTGTGTGAGAGTGGGACGTGTGTCTGGTCCTGGTCCTCTTGGCTGTCTGCTGGAAAGCTCTGCCACCACGTGCCTTGACTCTGCTCTTCCGCCTCCTGCTCCTCTCCTCCCTCCACTCCGTCCTCGTCCCCGCTTCCTCCTGCCCATTCTCACCTCAATGGAGCAGGAATAAAGGGTTTCCAACAAGTGCTGTGTGTCAAGGGGAGGAGAGAGGAGGTCCCACCTCACTTCCTCTTGGGCAGCCACTCCGCATAGCCCGAAGCCTCCCTCTCCAGGCCCCTTTTACCGCCCCAAGGTGTGTGCTCAATAAATTGCTCCTGGGAAGCTTGGCTGAAATGAAGGCAGGCGAAGCACTGACGTGGGGCTCATAGCGGAAAGGGCTTGTCAGTGCAGGAGCAAGGGCTTCACTAACGGTGACCGTGAAGGGCTGGGCCACTTGAGCTACAGAAGCCCTTGACCTTGCACCTGCCGGTTCCTGCTGGGTCCTGTGCTGCCTGCAACAGGTGTGGGTGGGTCTGATAGCAGATGCTGCTCAGGTGGACTGAGTCTTTAGAGGAAGTTTAGGGGTGATGAGAGTAGCCCGTTGAGGAGGAGAGAAAGTTATTATACAGGTTGAGGATTCCTTGTGTAAGACGCTGGGGACCAGAAGTATTTTGGATTTGGCTTTGTTCTGCTTGAATTGGGAATTATTTGCATGATGCAGTAAGGGATCTGGGGCTGGGACTTGAGTCTGAACAAAAACTTTGTTTCTGATGCACCATTGACATAAAACCTAGAGATCATCTTAATTCTTTTTTTTAAGATTTATTTATTTTTATTGTAAAGTCAGATATACAGAGAGGAGGAGAGACAGAGAGGAATATCTTCCATTCACTGATTCACTCCCCAAGTGACCTGAGTGGCCAGAACAGAGCCAATCTGAAGCCAAGAACCAGGAGCTTCTTCCAGGTCTCCCACATGGGTGCAGGGTCCCAAGGCTTTAGGGCCATCCTCGACTGCTTTCCCAGGCCACAGGCAGGGATCTGGACAGGAAGCAGGGCTGTTGGAATTAGAACCAGTGCCTATATGGGATCTTGGCGCATACTAGGTGAGAACTTTAGCCACTAGGCTACTGTGTCGGGCCCCATCTTAATTCTTTACATTAATAATTTTGTGCATGAAACAAAGGCTAATGGTATGGAGTTTCCACTTGTGATGTCATTTTCGAGACCAAGGAGTTTTAGAATTTGAGCTTCAGATGTTTTCATTTGAAATCCTCAATTTGGACGAGCTCAGCCTCTTTGGGGGTTCACACCAAGTGCGGAGCTGAAACATGAGGTTCCCATGCGACCTGGTGTCGGTCACTTGATCCGGGCATTCTAACTCTTGTGGTCCTCTTCCCTCATCCAAGAACTCACTTACGTGCCCGTTCCCCCGGAACGTCTGCCTCACCCATCTGACCACCTGCCCAAGCCAGGCAGCTCTGCCCATGCGTCCCTGAAGAGCATCAGCTGCTCGTCTTAGCTAACACAGTGCCTCCTCGTGCCCAAGACGCCCCTGTGTTCTCCCCACGTAGCACGCAGTCAGCCCTCTTGACTTCCCATCAGGTCCCTTGGGGACGGCCCTCTGGTGCCTGTCCGGTCTTGGATGCTGCACACACAGATCCCCAAGATGCTGCTCTTGAAGCAGAGGCCAGGGTGATGTGGAAGGTTGAGGATGGGGGGCACGCTGGAGCGCCTGCGGAGACAGACTGGCCCACAAGGCCCCTTGGCCCTCAGGTTGCTGACGAGCCCCCTCTCCAGACTGAAACTGTTTGCCCGGCTAGCCTCCCTGGGAGTTCTTATTTCCATCACCATATTTAGGAAATAATTTTGAGGGAACTTAATCACCACCCGCCTTTCCCTCATCCTCTCCCCCTTCCCCTCTCCACTCCTCTCCCTTCTAATTTTCCACTTGGCTGGGATTTCTCCAGCAGCACAGGTTCAGGCTTAGGGGAGGCCTGTGGTAGCTGCTTCATTAGAGTGCATAATCTCATTGAACCACTGGCTTGGATAATAGCCCCTGCTGGGGCACAGTTAGCACCTGTGGTCTGGGCTGCCCGCAGAGGAAGGTGCAATGAGGCTGGGAGGGAAGAAGAGGCGGGCAGGTGTGGACTCCGGCTCTGGGCACCGCCCATCTCCTGCTGGCCAGCTGTAGCCGAGTGACCATTACGGTGGTGGCAAAAACGAATGTCTGAAAATTCAGCCACGTGATGTGATGTGGGGATGGAAGAAGTGGGAGCCCCCTCCCGCGGCCGGGGTGTCCTGAGTGGAGTTGAGGGAATGCTCCCGAGGCTTCCCACTGCCTCGGGAGTGAGTGGCCGGGCTGTCCCCCGCCCAGGGGTGGAGAGTGGGCCCTGTGCACTTTGCACAGCTGTTGCTGGGAGTCCTGGGAACACAGCCCATTCCCTCGGGGAGCCTGTGCGATGTCAGGAGGAGCATGATCGGCCCCTTCTGCTGTCCTGTCAAAGTTAAGGTCAATTGTCTGCTCCTGGACATCTGCGGCCTCCACCCCCAGGCCCTGAAGGAGGGTAGAAATGTCAAAACATCCTTGCCTCTGACCTTCAACTTGACTTTCCACCAGGACAGTGGGTCCTCCGTCCCCTTTGACAGCTCAGCCTGGCCCTGTTCTCTGCCTGGCCCAGGCCTGCGCCTCCCTCATTCTGAGAAGTGCCTCAGCTGTCGCTTTCATCTGTGTGTGCCTTGTCCCCTGGGCTGGTCTGGGAGCAGAGCTGTGCTTCGCGTGTCAGCTGGAAGGAGCTGCATGAGCAACGCGGAGAAGGGATGGCAGTACCAGCCAGCAGTGCTTGAGGGTTTAGTGGGAGCTCTGCTCCCTTCTAAGTGCTTGACATGCAGACTCTTGTCTAGTCTTTGTTGCAGCCCTGTTTTTGTTCCCATTTCACAGATCAGATGAGGTCCCAAGTGTTTACAGAATTTGCCCAAGAGGACAGATAGAGAGCTTAAAACTGTACACGACAGGTGGCTTCTCTGGGGAGACCTAAATTCAGGGTCGGGGCTGAGATGCTGAACTGATGGCTCTCAAGAGCAGTGCCACAAGGCAGCCCTGCCCTCCAGAAGTCCTGAGCCGTGTAGCTGGAACTTGCCTGAGCTCTCCAGCCCAACAACCATCCTTGGAGGAGCGCTGGAGTCTTCCCTTTGAGTCTGTTGGCAACAGCAGCTGATGTTTGGTCTGGAAGCACTCCCATGCCTCCCCCGAACCCCAACTCCCTTCATCATTTAATCAAAGACATTTTCTGACCTGCCAATTGCTCTTGGAAATGGGAACTTCAAAGTTGGGGAGTCGGTGAATAATTCAGGCCCCACCAGCTCTCTGGGTCCGCCGTTAATGGGAGTAATAACACTATTAATAGCTATGTCAGGGCTGACACTCTGGAAAGGTCCATAACATTAGCTTAATGGCTGAAGGTAATGGAGTCCTCGCGAAGGAGCTGGCCTGGTAAATTACCTCCCGAGACTCGGAGGCAGACACACTGGCTGCTGCCGGCCAGCCAGGGAGAGCCGGGGCTGGCCAGGCCCGTGTCTGACCTTTTACTTCCTGCATGGAGCTTCCGGGAGGCATCCCAGAGAACTCGTCAGCTCGTCTTTGTCCAGCAAGTTGCAGAAATATCAATGGAAGGCAATTGGAGAAAGGGATGGTGGGAGATGTTTAAATCACCATGAGGATGTGAAAAGGGTATTGAGGTAGATGGGGGAGATGGATTTAGTCTGCAGCCACTGTGTGTGTGTGTGTGTGTGTGAGAGAGAGAGAGAGAGAGAGAGAGAGAGAGACCTGTCTGTCTCTTACTGGAAAGTGTAGAAACTTCCAGAAGGTAGAGGACAGTGGTATGGAGCTGAGTTTATCTGTGTGTGAACCCTGCCATTATCTGATTGGCTATGTTACCCACATTTTCCTGCAGTCTCCTGACGTGCGAGTTGGGGGTTGCCACACGACACAGCACACGAGGCCAGCCTTCATCACACGACCTTAGCAAGCACGCATGTGCTAGTCACCATCAGGGTTGCAATTGCGGTGCCTCGCAGTTCTGTATCCCGTGTCAGTTGACTCTGACACCCTCCTTCCATTCTGGTGGCTCCCCTTGAGCCCGTGGTCTTCAGTCCATGTTCACAGAGAACTTTCTCTCCACTGCCAGGCATCCATCCTTCTGTGGCCGAGGCTGCCTGCCTTCCCCTTGGCTGGAAAGAAAGCCCCCACAGCATTCATCTGCATCAGCTCAGGGTCCAGGAGCCCTGCTTTCCTCCAGCCCTGGCCCAAACCTGTCTTCTCCTTGAACTCATGTTGCCTCCCAAGGTGCCCCCTCCCCACAGGGCTCCCTGGTCCTGGCTGCTCTGTGTCCCACTCAAGGCTGCCTTGCTCATGTAGTCCTTGTAGCTCAGGGCTGCCTCCCATCCTGACTTGGTCCCTGATGTCTTTCTCACTCCGGCCCCGTCTTGGTCCCGGCCTGGGCCCTGTGGCTATCTCTTGGATGACCATTGGTATGTCTGTCCCTTGCAGGTGTTCTCGCAAGGAACGGTGTGAGCGGTCCAGGGAGCCTCGCAGGTTTGCCTCGGAAATGAAGCAATGTGTCCGGCTCACCGTCCATCCCAACAACATCTCTGTTTCTCAGTACAACGTGTTGGTAAGGGCCCCAGGCCAGAATCCGGGGGTGCCAGGAAGAACTCACCTCTCCACAAGATACCAGAGCTCAAGTGTCACGGGGAGAGCTGGGCGCAGCCTGGCCAGCAAGTGCAGCTCAAGACCAAAGCAAGGGGTCTAGAGAACTATCCGATAGGGATGCAGAAGGCGGCATGCCCAGGAATTTGGGGGATAGACTGCCTCACAGTGACCGGGAAGCCAGAGAATGGTCCACAGAGTGACAGAGGGTATGGGAAAGGAAGGAGGGCTATACCCATGAACAGGTGCAGGGCAGATAAGGGCAAACTCATGGCTTGCAAGTCCCAGCACGGGCACTGGCTGTTGGCATAGGTGCATGAGCCACAGTCCTTCAGTGCTGCCAGGGTTGTCGCCCCTCATAGATCCCCTAAACACGTCCCTTTGCCGGGGCCAAATCCACCAGACTCTAACAAGGTTTGTCTTGGTCTTCATGTCCCTTCACCTCCTGGAACCATTTCGTTGTGACCTGGGCCTCTTCCCTCTGCTCACACTACCTCTGCGCTCCCTGTGGTCCTGCTTGCTCACCCTATGTCCTCCTTCATTACTCCCTCGTCTTCCCATTTCACCTTCCTCTCTCTCTTTCTCTCATTCCATCTCTCTCCCCTTCTATCCTTCTTTCTTCCTTTCTCTTCGTCTCTCTCCCTCCCTCTCTCCACTTCTCCTTCTCCCTCCCTCCCTCCCTCTGTCTCTTCATCTCTTTCTCTGTCATCTCCCCATCTTTACCTCCCCTCTCCCTCTCTCCCACTCTCTCCCTCTCTCCCACTCTCTCCCTCTCTCCCACTCTCTCCCTCTCTCCCACTCTCTCCCTCTCTCCCACTCTCTCCATCTCTCCCACTCTCTCCCACTCTCTCCATCTCTCCCACTCTCTCCCACTCTCTCCCTTTCTCCCACTCTCTCCCTCTCTCCTACTCTCTCCATCTCTCCCACTCTCTCCCTCTCTCCCACTCTCTCCCTCTCTCCCACTCTCTCCCTCTCTCCCACTCTCTTCATCTCTCCCTCTCTCCCACTCTCTCCCTCTCTCCATCTCTCCCTCTCTCCCACTCTCTCCATCTCTCCCTCTCTCCATCTCTCCCTCTCTCCCACTCTCTCCATCTCTCCCACTCTCTTCATCTCTCTCTTTTCTGTCCTGCCACGCTTCCCCCTGCCCCATCTCTTCTTCCCACTCTCTTTCCTCCTGCCTGCCTTTTGTAGCTGGTCCTGGAGACGTACAATGTCCCAGAGCTGTCAGCGGGGGTCAACTGCACCTTCGAGGACCTGTCAGAGATGGACGGTCTGGTGGTTGGCAACCAGATCCAGTGCTACTCTCCTGCAGCCAAGGAGGTACCCCGCATCATCACCGAGCACGGTGAGCAGCCCCAGGAGGCAAAGCCAGGCCTGTGTCCTGCCTCTGCAAAGCCATGAGAGCTCACAACAGATGCGGGTGGGCCAGAGGAAAGAGGTTTGCTGTAGGAAGAGGGGAAGGAAGGTGAGGGGAAGGAAGGCTTCCTCCATTGCCCTTAGAGCGGTTGCAGCCTTCCCGTCTCAGCCCAGCTCAGCTTCGGAGAGTCTGTCTCATCCTGGATGGGCACAGTTGCAAGGAGGGGTGGTAGAGGCCAGGCCAACAATAGAACACTTGGTACGATTCTGCCCACTTGGGCTGGCCTGGGGGGCAGCACAGAAAGCCAGGACTTCCTCTGCTTATGCGATGGGGTCCCTAACCCTGGACAATGGTCTTCCCACTCCCACCTTATTCTGCCCCTGCCAAGCTGCCTCTTACTCATGGCCAAAGGTTCAGCCCTGGCAGCGGGCAGGGGACAGGAGGACAAGCATGGACCAGGCTGACTGATTCTGCATTGTCCCTCCCACCTGGGCTTGTCACGTTTGTTCCCAGCTGATTGATTAATGAGGCTCTCAGGGAAGGCAGACAACAAGGCTGGCGGTGTGGGCTGGGGTCAAAGCTGTGAATTAAACATGGGCTCCAGCTCCTCCCTGGCGCCAGCTGAGGTTCCCAGGCTCTCCTGTCCCTAGAGGGTCCGGAGCCCCTTGGGGAGGGGGCCTCAGAACAGGATCTCCCATTATAGACCTAGGGAGCCAGCGGGCTGTGAACACACGTGCGATGCCTTGGCCGTGGCTTGTAATGCTGGGAGGCTGGCAGGGAGAGTGTGCATGTGGGTGCACAGGGGAACACCTGTCAGTGTGTGTGCATGTGTGAGGAGGAGATGAACTACTGAGCAGGGCGAGGCAAGTGACTCAGCAGAGAAAAGACTAGAACCGCCCCGTGCAGCTGCTTTCGGGGGCTGTCCAGGGCGGACAGTGCTGAGTCCAAGGGCTGCTGGAGTTGACAGCAGCTTTGAGGGGTGCGACCTTGGCCTCCCTGACCTCCTGGCTCGGCCCTGCCTTGTAGGGGACCACCACGTGGTGCAGCTGCAGCTCAAGTCCAAGGAGACGGGCATGACCTTTGCCAGTACCAGCTTTGTTTTCTACAACTGCAGTGTCCACAACTCGTAAGTGTTCCGCCCCTCTGCAGGTGGGCAGACCCTGCCTCCCCCGGGCCCAAGGAGTCACTGCCTGGAGCTAAGGAGGCAGACTAGGGTGGTCAGAGTGGAGAGAGACTAGGAGAAGAAGAGTGAGGACCTGGTGGGGTGGAGCCCTCCTGGCCCACGTGGGCCTTTTGGCATCGTCAGTCCTTCTTCTGTCTGAGCTACCTTGAGAACACAGCAGCCAGCACCACGGGCCAAGGAGTGGGGTCGGGCGAGGAGAGGGGGCCGCAGTGTGTGCGAGCCAGGCAGGGGTGACAGGTTGTTGGAGTGCTCAGCCCCTCTGCAGGCCCAGCTGAGACACAGGCCAGCCAGGCCCCAAGAGGGGGAGGAGAGGTACAGGCTGCTGGCAGGGGAGTCAGCTTCTGGAGTTTGCCCCATGGTAGGCGTGCACAGCAGAGGCCCCAGCTCTAGAGTTGGACCACTCTGTGTCCCGTGTCCTCTGTAAGCCTAGCGAGGGGGGAGCACTGTCCCCTCTACGCCAGTGCTGGCTGCCACACCACATAGGTGCTAGCCTCAGGCTGGCCAGCAGGCTGGCTGTGTGGGCAGAAGCCTGCTGCCAGGACAGCATTTTAGCCACATCTGGGCCACTGCTGGCACACTGCTTGTGTTTTCCACTGTGATTATGTGATTATTTATTCTATGAAATGATGGGGTTGCACCAGACTGTAAATGTATAAGCCATTATTTTTAAACCCTAGAAACCTTTCTTCAGCTGAAATTCAAGAGGGAAGTCCAATCTACACAACAGAAAGTGGGAACTACCTTAGTGGAGGGTCGGGAACCCCTCTGTCCAGGAACCATCGCCATGCCCCCCAGGGTTCTACAGAGCAGTTTGCACACCACAGGCGTCAGCCTCCAGGGGTCCTGCCAGCTCTGAGTCCCTGTTTTGTGGCTCCCCTTTGCACAGCACTCAGTGTATCCATGGACATTTGAGGGTCCTGAGCTGGTGGAATCCTAGAGCAGTATCTGTGAGTCCAGAGCTTAGCCATCCAGTTCCCCCAAAGGTAGCCATGAATGAGACCCTCCAACCCTGGGATTCTCCTCCAATGAACATACCACTTGGAAGCTACATCACTCCTGCCTGTCTTGACCCTCCGCTCAGGCAAATGGCGCCCCATGTGGGCCTTGCAGCCAGTCCACAAGCACACTGCAAGCATCTTCTCCAGGCAGAGATGCAGCCAAGGCAGAACTCCTCAGAGACAGAGGACTCCAGTGGGTGTAAAACCCGAAGTCTCAGGTCCTGCCCACCTGACGTCATGGCCTGTGGCCTTGCTGGGAGATCCAGACAGTGAAAAAATGAGATGGAGTCTTGGACACAAAACCAGGACTGGCCCAGAGACATCAGCAGCACTGAATCATAGGAGACAGGCTCAGGGAGGAAACCTCCGCACTGTCCATGCCTGGGGAGAGGGCCAGCGCAGGAAGGGACTGTGGGCCCCAGATGGTGGGACAGCCAATGTGGAGTACAGATCCCGCTTGTGGTGACCACACCTGGTCCAAGTGTAGGAGCAGTGGTCTAGGACCGTGAAGGCCTACGCCTGGACCCCAGGGCCTGGAGTTTCTGGGAGAAGTGGCCTGGTGTCAGCACTCTTGTGAAGTGGCCTTTGCTGGGGGAGAGAGGGAGGAGGAAGCTGACTGCTGCATGGGAGCCTGGAGTGCTGTGCCCCTCCACCGGTCAGGCCTTGCAGGCCCCTGCTTGCCGAGATGCTTGGGCACTTGACTGGCAACCTGACTACGGCTTGCCCCTGCTCCCGGGTGTCTCTGGACAAGCCCCTCTACTTTACTGTTTGTCTTTGGCAAAGGAAGTTCCAGGCTGCAGACAGAGAGAGGCCCTGGGAGGAACAGGTTTGGCGTCATAGAACAGCAGGCTGGGCTGAAGGGAGGGATCCTTAGGTGCTCTGTGGATACCACACATCTTAGTTGCAGGCTCGAGCTCAGCAGGCCCTGTGTCCTGGCAGGTTCTGTGTCATGCCAGGTCTGTGTTTTGGCAGGCCCTGTGTCCCGCCTGGGCTCGAGCTCAGCAGGCCCTGTGTCCCGCCTGGGCTCGAGCTCAGCAGGCCCTGTGTCCCGCCTGGGCTCGAGCTCAGCAGGCCCTGTGTTCTGTGCCTCTTCCCTGTGCATCCAGCTGCCTGTCCTGCGTGGAGAGTCCTTACCGCTGCCACTGGTGCAAATACAGGCATGTGTGCACCCACGACCCCAAGACCTGCTCTTTCCAGGAAGGCCGAGTGAAGCTACCTGAGGTAGGTCTCCAGGGTGGTGAGTGAGCTTGGGACACACGAGGCAGGTGGGCCCTTGGAGGATTAACCCAAGTAAGACCCACCACCACCACCCAGGACTGCCCTGCGGTCCCCAACCCTAGCTCTTGCAGAAAGCACACCATGACGACAGCAACCAAGCTGAGCTCTGCCCCGGGCTGTAAGTTCCGGACCTGCCCCGGGGGTGCCTGCCAAGTCTCTCTCTCAGTCAGGAGGACCCTCCGCTCTGCCAGGGGAGTTCCCTGGGAAAGGGGATATATCTTAGCAATCATTGCAAGCGCCCAGCAGGACTGTGGTCAAGAACTGGAGCTGCCCCTCAGAGCGCAGGTCATAGGGCAAAGTTGAGGCCAAAGTGCACAGGTTAAGTCAACGAAGAACAAGGATCAAAGAGTCACATCTGCCCAAGCGTGGATGGGTTCCCAGCTGGCAGCCTCACCTGAGAGTGTGTGGGAGAGACACGACTTCCCACTGCCATGCCAAGCCTGACCTTCTAAGGATGCAGGTGTTTGATGGGACGAAGTATCGCAGAGCAAGCCAGAGAGGTATTCTGCACAGCCAAGGCCTTGTCCTCCTCTGCCCTCCTAACGTTTGCTCCTTTCCTCCAAAATTCTCCGTGGCCACAGTTGACATCACCGGCTCTCTTAGAATGTAAGTCTGTAGACTAGGACCTCAAGGAGAACTGCACGGACACATGTGGAGACAGTCTTCTGCTAGCCTTGGCCATGTCTCCCAGGAGCCTGTGTGGTCCTGGCTGGTGGGCTGGCGGCTCTGGGCAGGAGGCGTGCTGCATGATGTTGTTGGACAGAATGGTATACAGAATGAAAACAAAGCAATGGAAGGGTCTGCAGTATTGATTGGATTCTGTTGAATTGTCCAGCCGTGGCAGCCTCACCAGCCTTCTTTGGTGCCAGCCTCACCTGCCTTCACTCAGCCCACCTAGGCTGAGGCAGGCTCCAGTACCTTCCCCACCCCCACCAGTGTTGGCTGTGCTCCCAGAACTCCTCCCCTGTCCACTCCCCCATATACTCAAAGACACACAGGTGCCCTGACCAGGTGGCAAGCCCCAGAGCTGTGTCAGCAGAGGGCTATCCAGGTGGAGGAAATGCAGGGGCTGTCTCAGGGACAGCAGGGACATTGGAAACACAGAGACCCCCTCACAGTATTGTCACCCCTGCTCACAGACTTGTACCCCACTAGGAAGCCTGCTTGGCCAGCCCCTTCATGAGAAGAGAGAAGCTGTCTTGTTCCTGAGGCTTAGAAGGAAGATGGACAGACACCTGTTCCAACAGCTAGTGGATGGCTTCCTGACAGAGGAAATGAGATTGCTCTAGTTCCAGCCGCCAGAAAATCCTACCCGTCTTGGGTGCTGGGGGCCGAGCAGTTCACTGGTGCAGCCGAAAGGAGATCACTCTAGAAGGAAAGGACTGTGTAGAGGTTGTCACACAAAGCTCAAAGGTTTCAGAAGGAAACAAGAAGAGGGTGTGCACTTGCCCCATGCAGCACCGTCCTCTGTACACTGGAATGATTGTTCTGCCTCATCGTCAGGAAAGATGCCCAGGCCTGAGCTGGCCCTTTATGCTGGGACGGAGAATAGCAGCTGCACCAGAGTGAGGTTCCTGTGTGTGTCGTCTACATAAGTTTCACAAAGACAAATGGCTTCAAAGGCCATAGGAGAGGGTGAGCCAGGCAGCCAGCAGGCATACGTGGTACAAAGAGCTGGCAAAATGTCAAATGGTGGATCAGAAGCAGGAGGGCTGTAGGGTCCACCTGGCCAGGGGCAGCAGGGCCCCAGGCAGCATCTCTGTGCTGTTCATGTGTGTAGCCTGCCAGTCACTTCATGGGAGTGCAGGAAAGCACTGGTTCGGACTCTCTGGCTTCCTAAGCAGAGGCTCTGTGTGTGGAGAGGCCCAGGAATAAAAGGAAAGCAAAGGCCCTTTATCCTTTAATTACCTTGAAGGAGGTTTTCAAGTGTCTCCTCTTGTCCCGGGTTTCTTTCTTGTAAATGTGTAAAAAGAGCGTGCATCTGCTCAGAAAGAGGGAGAAAATGCTTAGGAGAGAAGAAAGCAAGATTCCATCTGTGTCCCCAGAGTGATGCCGGGACCCCACCTCTACCTGGCCCTAGCGAAGGCAGTGGGGAGACTCATAGCTCCTGGGGTCCCCCACAGGCCCAAGACCAGTGGAGGAACATGGAGCTGGCCCCACCTGCTCCGGCCACCCTTCAGGTCTGTCAATTGACATGAGCCTGGCAGGCTGCGCAGAGAGAGGCTCCAGAGGGACTTGGAGTTGCCTGTGTCTGCCCTGTCACATTGCTGGATGTCTGCTGATTCTGAGAAGGGTGCTCTAAGGAGGCCGCTTGGAGGCCGTGCTCGGTCAACGCTAGGGCCTGCTGAATGTGAACGGGGAGGAAGAGCCAGCAGCGAGCAGCTCATGTTGGGCTAGTGAAATGTTGCTTGCCAGCCTCTTCCTGGGCAGCATACCAAGCGGGGAAATGGGCCCCACGACTCCTCCAGGACTTGAGGACAAGTCCGCTGCATCCGGTATGCAGTGTTTTCTCTGCTTTCCCAGGGTGTATGTGCTTGTGTGTGTGTCTGGGAGGGAGCAGTGAGAAGCAACAGGCAGGAGCAGACAAGTCAGGGACACGACTGGAAAGTGGCATTGTGGAAGGGCTCAGAGGTCCTCCTGGGAAGAAACTGCTCATCCTCCATCATTCTGAGTGTTTCCCATAGGCGAGACCCAATAACCAACAACAGAACCGTGGGCCTGTAGTTAGCGGTCTTGATCTGGGACCACTGGCCTCCGTGATGCCCGAAGCTGTGATACGCCCAGCAGAAAGCAGCTGCAGAGCACCTGCACCACAGTCCAAGGAGGGGCAGGCCAGGGCCTCGGGCTCCCGGCTTCACCTGACGGGGTGACCCTGGCTCAGACTGCTGGCCTGTGGTGACCCCTGGCACGCAGGTGGAGACCGGCCCTCAGCGGGTCTCCTCGCAAGCACCTGGGTTTTCATTTCCTCCTGCCTCAAAGTGGGGGATGGTGCAGACAGGGTTCTTTTTGTTAGCCAAGGGCTGCCAGGTGGCTTTTCATCTCCCCAGGGCACCGGGGACCCTCAGGCACGCTTCTTTCATCTGCTTGTCTCGTCCAGTTCAGCCCAGGCTTTGTGGACTGTCAGCAGGGATGTTGGGTTACCTCTTTTTTCCCCTTCTTGAACAAAGAGCATGTTCAGGTGAAGTTATTGGTCTGGAACAGAGAACTGGTGGATCATTGTTGCTATTATATTAATGGGGAGTATTATAACATAATTACAATGATTAGAAACAGAGTGCCCAATAACATATGCCGTGTATAGTAACTATATTCCAGTTACAAGGAATGATTTTGTTTCAACCAATGATGCCATTGTGATAACAACCTTGGATCTTTGCATCAGCTGCCAGAGCCTGGACACCCAACAGGACAGAGAGAGGAGAGAGCTGAGCTCGCTTTGGGCTGACCCTGTGGTCCTGCTCTCAAGCCACTGGAATGGCCTTCTGCTGGGATGGCTGCTGACAGAGCCAGGCCCCACCCCTCTGCCGGACGGAGGAGCCACTGCCCTGCCCACTTTTGGCATGGGCAGCCTGGACCACCCCAGCAGGCCTGTGCACTTAACAATGGTGATTTGGGGAAAAACGAATGGGAACTTCCATGGAAAAATAAATCCATTGGCAACAGTCTGCCCTTGGGGACTGTTTGGCTGCTTCGCTTCTAAAGGGAAAAGGCAGAGAGCTGCCACTGACACTGCGCTGGGCACCAGGCCGCCTGGGCTTTGCTAGCTAGGCTTGGCACACAGCGGTGTGGGCTTAGAAGGCGCCCAGAAATGCCTCAGCTCTTGACCCTCAGCTGAGGGCTCACACAGAGAGCAGGGGCAAGAGCAGAGCAGGTGAACACAGGCTGTTGGGTTTGCAAGGAAAGCCAGTGCCAACAGCATCATGACTATCCCAACTTGCCCAAGGAGACACCTGCTAGCAGGACTAGGATCCTGGCACTGGGCGTCTGAAGGGCCATGCGGGCTCCAGGACCGAAGATCCATATGGCAGCGAAGGGCCCTGGGCTGCTGTGTGCCCTGGCACTGAAATCAGTCCCATGCCCCGAGACCGGGTGACCAAGGTCTAGACTTACCAGTTAGATTGGGGGGGGGGCATCCAGCTCTTCTGCCTCGCTAGTGATTCTGTTTCTTTTCCTGCAGAGGAGACAAAAGCCAGGCCCTTCACTCTCCTTTGCCAAAATGAAGCCCAAGCCCAGCTGGAGAGCTTGTGTCTAAACCATGCACCACCCCCTGGCCCAGGTATTCAATTACGAAGGCAGTGGCACTTTCCATCCATCTGGGCTACCCTTTCCCCTAAGGTTCTGGGTCTTTCTTTTCTGTATTATTACTTTCTCTCTCCATAAAGCAGTCCATCGTAGATCACGCTAATGGCATTATAAACTCAGAGAACAGCAAGGAAATAGATGGTGCGTGACATTTGTGTATTGGGCACCATGAGTCTGAGAAAGAGAGTGAAAACTTGGGGGACTGGTGTGGCTGGAGCTGCCTTGACTCAAACGGCTGGAGGCTAAAGTTATTGGGGAAGGGGAGGCATGGCCACCAGTCACTTGTTCCTGAGCTGCCCCCAGGCTCTGTTCTCTCATAGATTCTTCCTCCCTCTTACCCTCTCCCCTGCCCCAGGCTTGCTGTAACAACTAGAAGAATTAGAGCTCACCTCCTGTAAGCACACTGGGGACTGTAAATCCACCTTCCCCAGGCTGTCTGGCCCCAGAGGCAGCATTCTTTATGTCCTTGTTCAATTATTTAAATCACCAATGAAACCTCTATATAAAGCAGCCGTGCTGAAGTGCCTGGACCTGTTAGCTGGGAAGGCATCTCTCTGGCTTTCAGATGCTGCCTCCATGTTCCTGCTCCCTATGTTTAACAGTGCTGCCCTTCTTTTGTGCACATTTAAGTGGAGACCAGAATGTGAGGGGGCAGCCACCCCCCAGGTGCCAAGCCTTCGGAGGCTTGCTGGAGTCCCAAGCCGCTACTCCCACCTGCAGCCCCAGTCCCTTCGCACACCTACACCCTGTAGCCAGTGGCAAAGGCAGCCTCGGCTGGTTCTTGCCGCATGTGCTGTCTCCAAACCATCCTGTGGCATGCAGGTGTTTTCCGTGTGCTAAGAGCTGAGAAAGAACAATGAAAGTTTGGGAAAGTCTCCTCTCAACAGAGCAGCAGGTTTTGAGGACTTGTGGTCAGGGCTAGATTTCTTCTGTGATCCGATCACTGCAAGCAAGTTCCTGTGCTTGCGGCCACTAGTCAGGCAGCTGGTGCCTGGATTCCTCCGTGGGAAATGTGGAGGTGACCCTAGCTGCTAGGATCCGAGTGTGCCAGGGGACGGGGGCATGGCATGTGTCCCAGATTGAATCCTCGGACACAGCAGGCCTCGTGATCTGCAGCCTTCAGCCGTCACGTGCTGTCAGCCAGACCCAGGCCTCTGCTGCCTACATGACCATTCTGTAAGAAACATTATCAGGGCTTCCTCCGGGGGAGGTAGGTACCACTTCCAGGAGGCCCACCTCCCCACACCATGGCCTGTCCAGTGCTCATTAGCTGGCTTAATTATTCTGAATACCGTACTTTGGGCTGGTTGAGCAGGTATTGGAGTTTCCATTTTAGAGACGGGAAGACTAAAACCCAAGCAGATGAATCAAGTATAAAGACATGTTCCTGGTAGTGCTGAAATGAAACAAACCAACTGTTCTCATACACTGTAGCAGCCTGGAGGACAGCAGAGGAGGAGAGATAAGTTCAATGGCATGGACCCTACTCTGCTGGGCCGTCTTGGGCCAGGACCTTGCTCCTCTGGCTCCCTTCCTTTCTCCAAACTTCCGTTAGAGCCTACGCCTACGCCTTCTGTCTCTCCGTGGCCCTGGCCTTTCCCCCCCTCTACTCCAATGGGAGGCACAGAGAGACCATACTCAGGGATGGCTCATGGCTGGATAAGATGGAGTCCCATCCGATCAACAGACAAGGAAGAGGAGGGTCAAAGGCAGGCTGTGATGGGCTCGGGGCTCCCTGGCTTGTCAAGGACCTGGCACAGGTTCTGGCACTCCCCAAGCCCAGTGCCTCTCAGGCCCCCAGCAAGCTTCTGGGTTTGTGTTTGTTTCAGAACACAGGCAGGGCAGCTCTGGGCAATCAGCTCTCCTTTCCGCCGTGGTTCTATTCTGCCTTCCTCTGCTAAACAGGCCAGTGGAAGAAGGCAGAGTCTGCCAAGTCTCCCATGAGCCCATGGTGAGGCATCCTGAGGAGGGATGTGGGTACAGTGCTGTGGGTAGCAGCTTACCAGGGGCGAGATGTCCTGTGCATCCTGGTCAGGGGCGCCGAGGCAGGAATCTGAGGGCAGCAGAGGCCTCACTCCTGCCTATGCTCATTGGGTCAGGAATGCCAGCTCTCCCCCGGGCAGAGCAGCCCCTCTCTGCTCAGCCCCTTCCTCCCAAGCCCTCCCCAGACAAAGCTTGTGGTCCTCGAGATCCACCCCCCCAAAGGCTCCAGGTGCCCATGACTGATAGGTGGGAGCAGCTCACTGTGTTTCTGCTCTGAGGGGCATTTCCTTGAGGTCAGCCTATCCCCAAAGTTCATCAGAAGTTTCTAGAGCATTTCAGAGTATTCCTAATGTAAGACTCAACCCACAAGTAGAAGGCTCTGCCAACCTGCTCTGCTGTGGTCAAGAGCCAGAACTGGCATCCAGGGCCTTGCCTCATTGAGGAATGTCTCACACGCCCCTGGAACTTGGCAGGCCAACAGGGAGGGGTGCCTGCCAGCGGGGTCAGTCTCGGCAGGCCTAGGAGGTGTGGTGGGAGTGCCAGAGTTCAGGAGTGCAGAACGAGGCCTAGAAAGGAGCCTGGGGGTCCCCTGCTCTCCCCTGCTGGGATCTCTCATCCCAGTGCTGGGGGTCTGGGCTCCTCAAGGATCTGTTGGTAAGACCTGAGTGGTCTTACCACCTGAGTGGTGTCAGCAAAGGCCAGCATTCAGCTTCCCGGCTGACTGACCTGTCGTGCCCTCTGTCCCCAGGACTGCCCCCAGCTGCTGCGAGTGGACAAGATTCTGGTGCCCGTGGAGGTGATCAAGCCCATCACACTGAAAGCCAAGAACCTGCCCCAGCCACAGTCTGGTCAACGCGGCTACGAGTGCATCCTGCATATCCAGGGCAGTGGGCAGAGGGTGCCCGCCCTGCGCTTCAACAGCTCCAGCGTGCAGTGCCAGAACACGTCTGTGAGTGACCCCCACCTGGCCCGCTGGCCCATTTCCTGCCGTGCCCCAGGACCCTTGCGCCGGCCCCAGCAGCTCATAGCCTTCGGGTATCTGAACCTCCTGTTGGGTTAGGGTTTGTCACCCTCCTCAGAGCAGGCCCTGCCCAGCACCCAGCAATCTAGAACAAGCCTAAGCTCTGCTACTAAGAGGTCAGCTGTGCCCCAAGCTGCACAAACCGACTGCCTGATCCCTACGTGGTCACACTCAGTGCCCACATGCCATCTGCTGTCCTTGTCCTTCTCTCTGTGTTGCCTTCCCAGCCCCTGCTCTGCATCCAGGGGCCCACAGACAAAGGCCAGACTTCTCTGTTTTTAAATGCATCTGAAAGGCAGAGTGACAGAGGGAGCAAGGGAGAGATCTTCCATCCACTGCTTTACTCCCCAGATAGTCACAATGGCCAGCTCAAAGGCAGGAACCCAGAGCTTCTTCCAGATCTCCCACGTCGGTGCAAGGTCCTAAGGATTTGGGTTGTCCGCTGCTGCCTTTCCAGGCCATAATCAGGGAGCTGGAGTGAAAGAGGAGAGGCTGGGACACAAACCTACACCCATGTGGGTTGCTAATGCCCGAAGGTGGAAGATTAGCCTTTTGAGTTATCATGCCAGCCCCAGAGTTCTTCATTTAGGTTTGAGGCCTGGGTCATGTGCAGTTCAGGGGTCTGTGAGACTGAAGTGTGTTGTCAGGCTCTGAAACTGCAACTCCCCTGGCTCTGGGGGAGTGGCCTGTCCCTGTCCATATGGCAAGTGGTTCGCCCAAGGTCACACAGCCAGTGAAGGTTATGGCTGGGCTGGACCTGAGTCCTCTCCTGGACCAGACACTCCTACATGGTGATTGTATTTGAAGGTGTCATGTGGGATCAGGAAAGTTCCAGATATTTCTTGTCTTTTCTCCTTTCTTCTTTTCTTTTCAGATGCATTCATTTGAAAAGACAGAGTGGTACACACAGAGAGAAAGAGGGAGGGAGGGAAAGTGCTTCCATCCATAAGCCATAAGTTCACTCCCAGTTGGCTTTAATGGCCAGGGATAGGTCAGGTTAAATCCTTGTGTCAGGAGCTCCTTCCAGATCTCCCACATGAGTACAGAGTCCCAAGTACTCAGGCCATCCTCTGCTGCTTTCCCAGGCACGTTAGTAGGGAGCTGGGTGGGAAGTGGAGCAGCCAGGACTTGAACCTGCACCCAAACCAGGTGTCAGCACCACTGTAGGCGATAGCTTTACCTGCTGCAGTGTAACACTGGCCCCCAGCCAGAGGGCCTTATGGAAACACCCTACCGTTCCTGCAGGAGGAAAGAACACTCCGAGAGCCCACAGCCCTGCTCAGGAGCACTCAGCATTCCCAGGACAGAAACCCCAGACTGTCTGCAGCTCTGCCACTGGGCACCACCCCTCCTCCCCCATTGGCAGCCAGGCCCTTTCTGAGATTTCTGCAGGGATCCTATTAAATCTGCCAGTGAGGGGGATATTAAACACCTCTTGCTTCCTCATAAATTCTGGAGGCCATGTGGGTTTGCCCCAGGAGGGCTGGCTCAAATAAATCTCCCCAAACTAGAAGGTCCCTGTGCAGAACAGGCAGCTTGGGCCCTATCTTGCACTCTGCAGGTGCAGGCAAGGGAGTCAGTGAGGAAAATAGCCTACACTGCTGGGAGAGGCTGCACCCGGGGCCCAGGAGGAAGCAATGGGGAGGACAGGGTCTGCAGTCTCAAGCGCCCATACGCTGGGTCCCCAGTGTTTTGGTTGACTTGGTTGCACAGGAAGGGGATGCTAGGTAGACCTGTGTGTTAGATGGAGCTCCTCGGTGCCCTGAAGCCTGACTTTGGGGTCCACCGGGCTCACTGAGGTCTTGCATGGGAGTCGGTTGGGTTGTTCTAGCCTGAGAGTTGCTGCTGGCTGAGGGAGCCCTCAGTGCACACGGAGGACCCCCAGATGTGGCAGCAACGCAAGGCTTCCTTACAGGACAGGGATGAGAATGGGCACCCCTGGCTCCAGCGTGGGTTTCTGTCTGAGGCTGAATTCTTGGGAGCCGAGAGGTCAGCCAGTCACACAGGAGAACCCTGATGCCCTAGGACAGTGAGCAGCACTGCTCCAAGGCCAAGGGATGTTTCTGAGTGCACAAGCCGGGCCCTCCCAGACCTGCATATAGGCTGCAGGCCTGGGGCCCAGGGCCATCAACTCCAAGGACAGGACCTGACCTGGGGCCCTTGGCCACCCTGAGCACTTGGGAGTAGCTGGCTGTACTCTGGCCCTCTGAGGCTCACCATCAGTCTGCAGTCTCCTGGCCTGCTATAGACCATCGCTGGGTCCCTGCAGGGGGCTGCCCCAAGGCAGCCCAGCCACTCTGCCAGCATGATTTAGCCATACTCCTGGTAATCGGAAGAGTTTATTTCTCTATCATTGTTGAGCCTGGGAAACTAAGATGACAGGGGAGGGCCCCACAGGGTGAAATCAGAGGGTCCCTCCCCCATTAGGACCCACGGAGCCCCTTCGATGCAGGAGGACTCGGCTCTGTTTCTAGGAGCCTCTTTCTCTTCAGCAGAAATAGCAAGAGAGACCCTGGGTTTTGCTGAAACAGGCCAGGGTACTGGTTGCCACCAAGCAGTGTCCTTATCTTTGGGGTCATAATCTGAGGCTCATCATTCTAGAAAATAAGACATCATCAGGCAGGAGTGGATACCTGGAGAATGTCTCTATTCTCCTGTTACAGAAGAGAAGTCTCTAAGGGCCGGAGAGGGCAAGAGACAGGCCCAGGTCACACAGTGAGTGAGACAGGAATTCAGAGCTTGAACTAAGCTTCACAGTTTAGCCCCTACAGCAACTTAGAACCTTCTGCCCTGGCTTTGATGTATTGTCACTGGGAGTGGAGCATCTGGGCAGCCTGAGAGAGGATCGTGTGCCAGAGACGGTTTCCTTTGCCACATCCCAAAGCAGTCGGGAACAGGAGCAGAAGGGAAGGTTGGAGCACAGCAACCCCGGGGTGGTGATGGGAGAAAGAAGTCCCAGGGGAGAGCAGAGGCAAACGGGGACACACAGTGCGGGCTCCTTGCCAGCTGAGTCCCTCTGGCCCTGTTATTTAAGGACAGGCCCTGGGCCAATGGCTGCAGCTCCCAAGGGAGGTAGGAGGGGAAGAGCAGGGAGGCTGCAGGCCAGCGTGGGCCGGGGAGCTGCACCGTGGCTGGGCCTGGCCTACTTTAGCCCAAGGCTCCGGCAAAATGTCAAATGCTGCTAATAATAGTGCCCAGCAGCCCCTGCTCGGCGGCTGGCAGGGCCCAGTAAGTGGGCTGCAAAGGGCAGCTGGCTAGCTGCTGGTGTGCTGGCCAACAGGGCCTGGGGCATGGGGCCCAGCTCCCGTGGACCCTCGCTGGCCTCAGATTTGCTCTGAATCCTCTAATTTAGCAAGTGAGGGCCCAGTGGCTATGATGCACAAGTCCCATCATGGGTTTGGTTCAGGCTCCAGGTGTTTCTCTTCCAGCCCAGGTTCCTGCTAACACACATCCCAGCAGGTGGCAGGCTTGAGCACCTGGACTGAGTTCCCAGCTCCTGGATCTGGAGGCCTGCCCCAGTGCCCACCGGGTGGGCATCTGGGCAGTGAAGCATCACCTGGAAGCTCTGTTTGTGTCTGACTTCTTTTTCCTGTATTGCTCCCTCTCTGCTTCTCTGCTTCTCGAGACAACAAACAAACAAAAAGAAAACCCACAAAAGTTCAGCTGACCATGTGCAGTCCATGGGGAGAGCGTGTGCAGGGAACTTTGCTCCCTTGCTGCTCGTCAGCCAGAGAGGTTTGCTGAGCACTGCTCTGCAGACCTTGAGACGCGGCTCTCAGCCTCCAGAGAACTCTGCTATAGACCCACGGGACAGCGGGGAGCACTTGTGCTTGTTTCCGTAATATTTTGTGGTGTGAGCTCAGAAATGGGGAGAGGACAGAAAATGATATCAGCATATTTGATCCTCATAGTCTTTCATTTTCTGCAGAAGGAAAATATGCACACCTTGACCCCCAGGCACACACACACGTGTGCACGTGCACACACGCAGCACGGCAGGTTGGTATACAACCCGCACACATGCCAACTCTGGCACGCAAGCATTCCACACACACAACTCCCACCCTGGGAGTGTAAACTCCACCTTGCAGAGCACCCCGAGTGTGCACACACGGATTAAAATACACAAAATGTTTGGATGCTGAGAATATGTGACAGACACGGCACGTAGAGCACAGCATACACTACATCGTCACGGCAATCCGGGAGGCGTGCACTGTTGCACAGTCCACTTTACAAACAGGGAAACTGAGGCTTGGGTTGTGGGCTTGTGTGAACACAGTCACAGGCTGGCAGGACCACCGTGTGTGTGTGTACATGCGTGTCTAAGCACACAGACAACATGGTGTGTGTGCTAACCTTTCCCAGCCAGCACACACATAAGTGCATGTGTTCACACCAGCTCCATTCAGCTGCGCCAACAGGAGATCCTGCAGGACTCTGGTCTCCACCTGCCACTTCTGCTTAGGGTCCTGGCTAGAGCAGACACTGAGCTTCCCACTCAAAGGCTCGATCTTCGCTGCAGCCCCACAGAGCAGACTCCAGCTGAACAGAAAGTGTTCAGGCTGGTTGGAGCAGCCAGTCTGGGCTGGTGGCCTGGTGTCTGCTCATCTCTCCCACTGCAGCCTTCAAGTTGGCAAACGGGTGAGAAGGAGATGCCTGGTGTGGCTCACTCCCTCCCATGCCCTCCACTGGGCATCCTCTCACAAAACGGGGACTCACCAGCTTCAGCCAGTGCCAGGACTGTGGGGGCACTTCCACGCATGCCTCATCTCCAGAAAGCCTGATTCAGCAGGTCTGGGCCAAAGTCTGGTCTTGGCGTCTAGACCCTGGCCATGGCGTAGGGCTCCATTGGCCCCTAAGAACCACTATTATCGAGTAGCAGAGTTTTGCGAGGCACTCTGGCCACATGGGAGGTGCAGACTTGGTCTTCAGGGAGTTCATCACGGTAGCCCCCAGCCCCCACCCGTGGCTTTATTTACTGTAGTTCATTCACAGGAGTCAACTGTGTCTAAAAATAAAACCAAATGAAAAATCCCAATTCAAGCAACTAATAGGGCTTGAACTGCATATCAGGACCCAGCACAATAGTCTAGTGGCTAAATCCTCACCTTGCATGCCAGGATCCTGTATGAGTGCAGGTTTGTGCCCTGGCTGCTACACTTGCCATCCAGCTCCCTGCTTGCGGCCCGGGAAAGCGGTCAAGGATGGCCCAAACCCTTGGGACCCTGCACCCACGTGGGAGACCCAAAAGGCTCCTGGCTCCTGACTCCTGACTTCGGATCAGCTCAGCTCCAGCCGTTGTGAGTGGCCATCCCATTCATTCCACAGCATACACCCTGTACACCCAGTCCTACCTGCGGTGGTCAGATGAAGCGAGAACAGAGACCTTGGATTGCATTGGTGGTGGCCATCACTGCTCTCCCTTACTGTCGTGCTCATTCACCCTCCCTCAGCCTGGTGCTTACTCACATTTTATTGTAGGTATGTACGTATAGGGGAAAGACCATGGTGTGGCTACTGACCTTGGTACCGTCTCAGGCATCCACTGGGTCCTCTGCAGATGGGGGCAGAGGGTCTCACTGGGTCCTGAGACGGTCAGAGCTCACGTGATCTCCACAGGGTCAGGCGGCTATATGTTTATGCTGACAGTCCAAGTGGAATTGACCCCCGGAGAGATTCTGTGTGAGTGGGGATGCTGTGGGACAGCAGCCTGGGCGTGCATCGTCAGGCAGTTAGCATGCAGCACTGGTCCTCATGACAGAGCCTGGGCATGTGTCCGGCTCACAGTGCCGCTGTGTGGTCAGTTTGGAGTGGTCTGTGGCACTGGGACTTCTGCATATTTCCTGGCTGAGGGCTTCGGCAAGTCTTTAGAGGTTTCTACTACCAGACCCGAGAGCCATTCCTGCCCACAGCAGGTTCACAGAGAGCAGGGCTTGCGTTTCTGCCCAGCCTGGGCACTCCTGATGAGCTGTGGCTGTCTCCTAACTCAGGAAAGGTGTTACGACATAGAGAGGGACAGCATCAGGTCCCAGGCCCAGCCCTTGCATGCGTGAACTCTGTAACACAACTTCACACCCAGCTCCCTGTGGGAGGAGTCCCTGTGAATACACTGCCCAGCGCTCTGCCCTCCCATGCCAGCTCCATTCTGTGTCTCACCCCTGTGAGGTGAAGAGGAAAGCCCTAGGGTCCACTTGGTTTTGTGTCCCTTCCCTGACCTTCTTCCCCTGAGCACTGAGGAGCAGCCACTGTCAGACCCCTCGGGGCTGGCGTGCCTGGGCTGCTCCTCTCTCCAGCCCTCACTTTGGGAATGGGTTCCAAGGGGAGCTGGGCAGGAGCACATAGCTGAGAGACCCCAGGCATCGAGGGCTCCTGTCCAGGCACCACACACCCTGCACACCTCCTGGCAGGTCTGACAGGTCAGCCGGCCAGCAATGCCTGGTTTAGCCTTCCTGGGTGAGAGGCCTGGTGGGAGTGTGGGAGGCAGGTGGACCAGGCTTGTACCTGTGGCTTCCTAGTGGGGAACCACTGGAGGTAAACACCGAGCTTGCATCACTCTGCCCCTTCAGCCAGCACACGCATGGGTGTGCATCCACTAGATATGCGCCTGCACAGGTGTGCGGCAGAAGCCCACTCCTGCTTTGCCTTCCAGATCCTGTGTCCCCAGCTCTGCGCATGCACGCGCACTCAGTCCTACCCAGCCCCTAGCCCCAGGGGAGCACCCAGGCCCACCTAAGGCATCCTGTGACCCAACATTCTCTCTTCCCCCAACCTGGCTGTAGTACTCCTATGAAGGCATGGGCATCAACAACCTGCCCGTGGAGTTGACGGTCGTGTGGAACGGGCACTTCACCATCGACAACCCGGCTCATAATAAAGGTGCAGAAGGGTTGAGCCAGGGAGGGGGGAGGGTTAGTCCTTCCAACCTCAGCTCCTCCTGTGATTACCCTCCCTTGGGTTCTGAGCTCCTACCCTGCCCTGTTATTTCTTGGGCTTGTGCATAGGTTTGCATGGACTGGTGGCTTCTGGAAGGGGAGTGGAGTAAATGGATCCAGGAATGCATGGTTGGGGACCTGTGGCCTCCTTGTGAGGCTCTTCTGCTCAGGCATGGGTTTCCTCAGGAGACCTGAGTGGGCCACACTGCCCTGAGTGCCTTCACCCCAGGCTGGGACTACGCACCTGTTAGTGCCCAGCCCCTCCAAAGCACTTCCTTTCCTGCACCTCCCTGCAGTTCACCTCTACAAATGTGGAGCCATGCGTCAGAGCTGTGGGCTGTGCCTCAAGGCTGACCCAGACTTTGAGTGTGGCTGGTGCCAAGGTCCAGGCCAGTGTACCCTGCGCCAACACTGCCCTGCCCATGAGAGCCGGTGGCTGGAGCTGTCCGGGGCCAACAGCAAGTGCACGAACCCTCGCATCACAGAGGTAAGCTGGGGCCGGGAGCCATGTGCTGCCAGTGCAATGGCCATCATGGGGGCACCAGGTGGACTCCTCATTTTCCTAGCAATCTGGAATTGTCCCATAGGCCCTTCCCTTACTGAGATGGGGCAGAATCTCTATGAGAGCTGTGTCAAAGGAGTATCCGCCCTCACACCCTTCTTCTGCATCTCCCGAGAGTCTCCATGATAAGGCTGTGTGGCCAAGTGCTTAGCTGCATGCCCAGCCCACGGTGATCTCCCCAGTCGCTTCCTTTCCGTCGGTCATCATTGTCCGTGGTAAATCACTGCCACTCATCAGACAGCTCCTTCTCTTCTCACACCCCACTCGGACAGAAAGACCGCTCAAGAGCCCTCGTCCCCTCTTACATGGCAAAGAGGAGTGTGCATCTCTTTGCATGCAGTCCCCATCCGTGCCCCAGGAAGGAGCTGACTTTAATTGGGGAGCACACAGGGAAAGGGGAGAGGAGGCCAGCCTCTGCCACATGTAGTGTACCTGCGTCATGGATCTCACCTTTGTGCAGGACACACCCCACAGGCCAGTCCCTTCTCCTTCCCAGTCCTGCTCATGCAGGCCCTGGGAGCGTCTCTTGGTGAGCTGCCTGAGCAAGGTCTACACAGCGACATTCAGCCTGGTGTGTGGGGGGGGAAGGGAGTGTTTGGGGTGTGGGGGGAATTGGCATCATAAGCAACAGGCTGATTTGGAGCTGGGGGGATGCTGCCCCCTGACCCGCACCTGGACTGAGACCCCAGGTTTCCAGTCCCCAACCCCCACCTGTTCCTGCTCAGTGGCAATCGCCACCCCCAGGCCCCCCAAGCCAAAGCCACCCAGAGGCAGCTGAGTACTGCGGCTGGCTCATGGAGTGCCAGATGTAACCCCTGGGACTTGCTTCTTCTTTGGCCTGGATGAGGATGGCAAATGAAGCAGATTTCCCTGCTACAGAGGCTGTTGGCTGCCTGCAGCCTAGCATTAGTCCTTTGGCAAGCCCCGGCCGAGCCACAGGTGTAACTGCTTAATGAGGACGAGCAGCCCAAGCTGGAATACCATGTGGAGGCTGTTGCCAGGGGTCTGATGCTCAGGGCAGGCATCGGGGAAGAACCCAGAGTCCCTTCCCCACCTTCCCTGCACCCAGGTCTGGGTCTTCCCGACAGCTGTGTTCCTGCCGCAGTGGGGATGCAGTGTATGCGTCCTCGCACTCAGCACACACACATCCCCTCCAGGTACGTGAGAGATCGGTGAGAGCTTCTCTCTGCAAAGCTGCCCAGACTAGCTTCTTTCTTTTTTTATTATTATTAAAGATCTATTTGATTGACTTGAAAGATAGCCTGATAGAGAAAGAGACGAACACACACAGAAGGAGGAGGCCCACTCAGGGAGTCAGATGATGGAAGAGAGCCAGCTGCGTCTCCCAGTTGCTTTCACTGCCTTTCTCTCCCTTCCTCCAGATCATCCCAGTGACAGGCCCCCGGGAAGGAGGCACCAAGGTCACGATCCGTGGAGAGAACTTGGGCCTGGAGTTCCGTGACATCGCCTCCCATGTGAAGGTGGCGGGTGTGGAGTGCAGCCCGCTGGTGGATGGCTACATCCCAGCAGAGCAGTAAGTACAAGGTCGGCCAGTAGAGGTTGTGCGTCGCTTCCCCAGACTGCTTTGCACCAGGGCTGATGTGGATATCAGAATGTTTGTGAGGGAGAGTTTGGATATGTACGTATTAATGACGTGTTATCTTGGGAATGACGCCCACATTTAAACACAAAATTCACATGTTTCATACACATCTCATACACATATAATCATCTAATAATTTCGTGGGTAAATTAAATTTTCTTGGAGTGGAGTTTTCCACCTGTGACGTCATGTAAGTTGCTCAAAAAGTTTCAGATTCAGGAGCACTTTGAAGTTGGGGACTAGAGATGCTCAACCCAATTAGGACTCTCCTGGTTAGTGATTGACAAGGGAGCTGGGTTGGGAAGAGGGATGAAGAGCAAGCTCCTAACTTTGTAGTGCATGGAGGACCCCTGCCCTTCGCTTACCAAGCTAGCGGGTCCCCAGCTGGAGAGGAGACGGAACCATACTGAGAGAGAGAAGAGAGAGCGTTCCCTGCTTGGCATGTAGGGTGCAGGTGAAAGAAAGCAACATTGTAACCTGCAGGAAAAGTGTGAGTTCCAGCCCTGTGCTATCCCCACATCCTCATCCCAGGAGCCTTCTGTGTGCACTGTCACTGCCCTTCGCTGCCCTCTTTCCCACCTGGCAGGCCAGCTAGGGAGCCCTGTGTACCTTCTAAATAAGCAAATCCATTTTCCAGCCGAGCGGCTGCCTGCTGCCCTGTGAAGCAGCTCTGCATGGCACACCCCTCGACTGCCCCTCCTGAGTGACACCTTGCCAACTGTCTTGGTGAACAACAGTGTGCCTGTTGACCTTGCTGCTGGCTGGGCCTGGAGTTGATGGGCACCGGTCCTCTGGGTGTCTCCTGACTCCTGTCAGAGTCCCCCACGGCACCCACAGCAGCTCAGATGACTTGGGCCCCAGATCTCTAGTCCCCACAAAACTCCCTTTCCTTGTTCTTCATGACAGAGTTAGCAAAAGAGCTAGCTATGGCTTCCTCACTTTCTCAAATCCTGAGGGGCTGCTGTTGATTCATTGTGGTGTGGGGAACTGTAAAATATGCTGCTTTAGGCCCGCATAGTTGGATAACTGAAAGTGTAGTTATAAAACCACATGATTAAAAGATTGTGATGTTCATTAGATGGGTGAAAGAAGATAGAACGACCAGAAAATAATCCTGACATATAAAAATTCAGCATGTGATAAAGGCAGCGTTTCGTATCACTTGAAAAAAGGCAATGTGTTCAATCCATAGTGCTGATGACCAGCTGAAAAGCACACCAGATCCTGATGTCACGTTATGTGGCGAAATGAATTTCAGATGGATTAAAGAGTTGGATGTAAAGAGAGAGACGGAAGGGATTAGGGGAAAATATAGGTGAGAATTGAAGAAGAGGGTGCTCTCTGTGTAAAGGCAAGGAGGAAATGACAAAGAAAAGATTAGGGGATTGGAAACTTCCGCCTCAGAGATCACAGTGAGCAAGATAAACACAGATGGTAACCAGGGGGACAGCTCGGCCCTTCCCAGACACTGCAATGTTACCATCTGAAGAGATTCTACAAATAAAAAGCAAACGTCACAGCCAGGAGCACGAGTGTACCATTCCTAGGATAAGAACAAAAAGTTGTATGGGGAAAGTGTTTACCAGCGGTGGTAATCAATGAGATGCAAATTACAACCATGGAGAGTGATCTGTACATGTGAATGCCAGTGTGGGTTAGACTCCTGGGACTTGACAGCGGCCTGGTCCATTCTTGGCAGGAGGGCCAAGGCGAACCGGCTCTCTGGAAGACAAAGGAGGGCTGAAAGTCTTTATCCTGGCCCTCCCGCTTCCAGAATGTTCTTTCAGTTATCAGACTACACAAATATTCATTTGCAGGAAAGCTTACTTAAGCCTTAACTGCAATAATAAAAATTCAGAAGGAATTTGCTTGCCTCAAAATAGGGGATTTATCACTTCAACGAATAAGCATATGTGCATCGGATAGTCAACAACAACCCCTTTAAATCTGATCTTATCGAAGACTCATGACTCAGAATATACTCAGGATCTGGTAAGTGAGAAATGGGTGAGCAGGCAGGACTCTGCTTCTGATGAGTGTTGTCAAAGGAGCGAGTTTGAGAATGTACACCAGAATGACGGCGCAGGTTCCTAGCTTGGGTAACTGGAAGTGGAGCCTGCGCAGCAAGTGTTTTTGCATAACTTCTCATAATTTTTACACTGAGTACATTTTTACTATGTTATCTGGACAGAAAGGTGTCTTTTCACATATCTATTTTGCATATTTATTTTCTTGCTCAGAAGGTCTTCTGTGACAAACACAAAGCCTAGACATCATAAGGTGAGCGAACAATCCATTTAACCACACAGAAACTTTTAAACTTCAGTGTGACAAAGGATGTTGGAAACAAAGGTAAAAGATAGGTGACAAACGGCAAGAAAATAATTGGAATATGTGTAAGAGGCAGACGCTAACGCTGCACTGACTCCCAGGCCCCTCTGAAGACAATCCGTCAGCAGACAGAGGAGAATCCCAAAAAGTACGCTCAACTTCAGTACTTACTGGCAATCAGGAAAATTCAAATTAAGATAAGCCCCTTTTCCCAGTATATTGGAAAAACTTTCAAAGCCTTGTTAATATCTCATATTGGCAAAAAGAGTGGACAATTGATGGAACTGCAAAACCTCTCTGGACCATTGCTTGACTCCCCTCCACCAAATGATAAATGTATAAACCATCTAACTCAGCGTGTTCCTGACTTGGCAGCCCATTCTAAAATGTAGTGTGCCATGTTTAGGGTTGTGTAGAAGTGGCCTCATTTTGCAGGACTATTTGGAGTCAGAGAAAAATCAAGACCATTAAATGTCCATCCACAGGACAAAGATTACCAAAACAGATGCTGTGGTCGCAGCATGAAATACTGTGGCACCGTTAGTCAGGTACAGCCACACACATGGTGACGCGAAGGGAGACCCATGCCGTGTTGTGGGTGAAAACAGCCCCATGTAGAATAGAAGATACAGAATACCTGCTTCTATCTTTGAAAAGCACACACGTTTCTTTATGTGTTTATCTATGTATATGTAACATGTTTATGTGGCTGCATATAAAACACACGTGTGTGCGAATGTGTGCACATGTGTGTCTGTGTTCTGTGCACACCCAGTGGCTCTTGGCATCCCTGGGGGATGAGTTCCTGGCTTCGCTCCTCCCTGAACACCCATAACTGAGGCTCCCCGCGATCCTTACAGAAGGTGGCACAGCATTTGCACATAACCCTGCTGTGTCCACAGCCCTCCTGACTACTTCCAATGACTTCTAGATTACATAAAACTGAATACAATGCAAATTCTTTTTCAAGAGTTATTTAATTATTCACTTATTTGCTTACTTATTTGAAAGACAGAATTACAAAGAGAGAGAGGGAGAAACAGTGATTATTTTTTTCTATCCACTGCTTCACTTCCCAAATGGCTGCAACAGCTAGAGCTGAGCCGATCAGAAGCCAGGAGCCGGGAGCTTCTTCCAGGTCCTCCACATGAATGCAGAGTCCAACCACCAGAGCCATCCTTTGCTGTTTTCCCAGGCACAGGGAGCTGCCTCAGAAGTGGGGCAGCACCTGTACAGGAAGCTGGTGTCACAGCTGGCTGCCTACAATGTAAATTCTATGGGAATAGTCGCTAATACCATATTGTTTTGAGAGTCATGACAAAGAAATACATTTGTACATGTTTAGTACAAAAACGACTTAAGAAAAAACTATGGTTTCAGTCCATGATCGATGTGGATCCCAAAACTGAAGTTAACTATCAGTGTATATACTTGGGCAATTTGCCTAGCTTTTTTATGTCTCAGCTCTTCATGTGTAAGATGAGACGATAAGATAGATGGGTTGACGTGTAAGTAGAGTACAGGTGGTACAAACATACACACACACTCATTCAAAGCTTTCATTGGGTTGGGATGAAGACAGGGACATTCACTTTCCATTGTCACACTTTTGTGCTGTTTAATTGCTTTCAAAGCATATGATAACATTTCGCATCTGCACACACACCTCATGTGAAGCAGAGAACAGGTCTGTAAGGCAGCCCAGACCACAGGCAGCAAGGTGTGCCCATGAAACTCACTCAGCTAGCTCAGGAACAAAGTCTGAATTGCAGTTTACCGAGAGGTAGGTCTTCACACACCTCCGAGCTCGCTCAGCTCAGTTCCCGAAGCCATGGGGCATGAGTATTCCCTCCACCATACTTAATAGCGGAGTGCATTATTCATGAAGAGGGACCTGCTCCAGGGAGAACCCAAGAGGCGCCCCCCGCATGGAGGAATCATGAATCTCTCAGCATCTGTCTCCTTCCCTGCCATCCCTGTGGTCCTGCTGCAGAGAGAAGGGTTTGGCTGTGTCCTGGGAGGGCTGCGGCTGGGAGCTTCCCTTGTCTCGCCCCTGCAGGATCGTGTGTGAGATGGGAGAGGCTAAACCCAGCCAGCATGCAGGCTTCGTGGAGATCTGCGTGGCCGTGTGCCGGCCCGAGTTCATGGCCCGCTCCTCACAGCTCTACTACTTCATGGTGAGTGCTGGCCACAACTGCTGGGCCTTCTTGTGGTTGTGTGGGCACACCCAGGGCAGGAGACTACTGGGACAGTCTGGCGAGGCCTGAGGGAGTCTGATCCCAGAGGGAGTGCTCAGCGCTGGGCTCTGCCCTGCTGGCCATGGAGCTTCGGGATTGTGGCTCTCACTCTCGGGGCTGAGTGGCCACATGGCTAGGAGGCGAAAGTGTGACCGTCATGTGAAGATGTGGGCCCCAGCTCTGCCGCTTACTGACTGGTTGGACTTGAACAGGCCACTCCATTTCTTGGGTACCTCCAGTTTTTCAATGTATAATGGGAATAATGACAGCACCCACCTCATGGTGTTGTGCCAATGATGTGGCTTGTACTAATAGCATTCTCTTGATCATCTCTGTGGTCTCAACATTGCTGCCACATCCTAGTCTCTGTCTGTATGCCCAACCCATCCCAGCACTCCTCCCTTGCCATCGCCTCACCCTGTGACCCCTGGAACCTCTCCTTCACCTGCCCTGCGTCTCCTCCCCCATACCCATCCATCTCCCTCCACTCATACCATCATACCACTCCCTTCGCCACCCCTGCCCATCCACAGGTCTCTGCAGCACCCCACCCCGGCACCATGCTGGAAGCCTCCCATCCCTTCAAAGGCTGCCCATTGGCAATTCCAGGGCAGGGGCTTGGGATCCCTCGGGACCTGTGATTGTGGAGATGCTAGAAGGGCAAGCGCATTCCTGCCCCCTGCTTGTTCTTGAGGACCACACTTCTCAGGCTGCTGACAGCTCTGGTGTCATCAAGTCCTCATGTTTCTGGATAGCCTTGGAGTAGGGAGTCAAAATGACGGATTTTGTGCCTGGCGCCAGGTGTCCTCAGTGTGTTGTGGGGAGTCCAGGTTACTCCCTTTATCCTGTCTCCCTTCCTCCTCTGCTTTCTTCCTTCCCTTTCTCCCTCATTCCATCCAACCTCCTCCTTTCTTGCTTCCCATCCTTCTTTCTGCAAGTGGTAACCATTTATTGCCTTGCACAGTATCTCTCCCTGGACTCCTGGATGATTGCTAATTTAACTGAGTTGATTGATCTAGCTGTAGGGTTACGGTGGTGGGCAGGGCCCAGCCTCTTCCTTGGGAGGCCTCCAACGTGCGAGGCAAGGTGCGCTCAGCATAGGGACTTGAGCACAGAGTTCCTTCTTCCTCAGGCACCCGGGGACATGGGCAGTACCCACTTAATGCCCTTAGGGACACAGTCAGTGCCCACTGAATGCCCTTGGGGACACAGGCAGTGCCCACTTGGGCCCCCTGAGGACACAGGCAGTGCCCACTGAATGTACTTGGGGACACAGGCAGTGCCCACTTGGGCCCCCTGAGGACACAGGCAGTGCCCACTGAATGTACTTGGGGACACAGGCAGTGCCCACTTGGGCCCCCTGAGGACACAGGCAGTGCCCACTGAATGTACTTGGGACTCACACAGATGGGCTCATGGAGGTGTAGTTATACTTGTGCACTCAGGATTCATACGCCCTCCTTCTTCTGAAAGGATAGAAGGACTTTCCAGATACAGCCCAGTCCGTGTGAAGGCCATAGTGATGAGGGTAACACACTCACACATAGAGCATATACAGTTACTCTGGACTTTAAAGATACACACGCAGAGGCAAGCAGTGATACATACTCTGTCTTTGAAAATGTTTTAAAGATGCGTTTATTTTTATTAGAAAGGCAGTATTAGAGAGGAAAGACAGAGAGAAAGATCTTCCATCTGCTGGTTCATTCCCAAATTGGCCACAATGGTTGGAGTTGAGCCAATCCGAAGCCAGGAACCAGGAGCTTCTTCCAGGTCTCCCACATGGGTGCAGGGCCCCAAGGACTTGGGCCATCCCCTGTTCCTTTCTCAAGCCGTAGTTGGGGATTAGATCAGAGGTGGAGCAGACAGAACACAATCTGGTGGTTCCCATTTGGCATGCTGGCAGTTGAAGGGAGACGGTTTTCCTATTGGACTATGGCGCCAGCCCAGTACTCTGTCTTATGCAGGTATAGAGGGAGACAGTGCTGGCAGGGACTGCTGACACTGGCTCTGACATGAAGAGGAACTGCTGCCAGGTCCTTCTTCCTCCTGTGGTCCATGGGAGTGACCCTGCTGGCAGAATGCAAGGGCCTGTCACAACCTCCCTCACGCACATGCTGTCTGCCTCGGGCCCCAGCCACCTTGCTGTGTGCTGCTGGCCAGGGTTGCCAACTCCTTGACTGGCCCAAAAGCCACAGCCATCTGTACGTGGCAAATCAGATTTACAGAGAAAAGGAAAAACAGGAAGATCTCTCATCCACTGGTTCACTCCCCAAGAGGCTGCAACTGCCAGACAAGAGCCAATCCAGAGCTACACAGGTGCTGGGTCCCAAGGCTTTGGGCCACACTCTCTTTGAGGCTTTCCCAGGCCACAAACAGGGAGTTGTATGGGAAGTGAAATATTCAGGACACCAACCAGCACCCAATGTGATCCTGTTGCTTACAACAGAAAGATTTAGCTGCTGAGCCATCCACTGGGACTTCAGCTGGGCACCTTTGGTCCCCACTCTGAGACCCTTAGCACCCTGGGGTCCTGGCACAACCCTGAAGCCCCTTTCTCAAAGCTGAGGTTCAGAGAGCAAGATTTCAGTCTTCCCCTCCGTCCCTCCATGACTGCAGCCCAGCTCGACAGTGTGGGTTTCTTCAGCCAGGCAAGGAACGCTGCTCCCCACCCCTCCACCCTCCATTCATGGAGCCAGAGAAGAGACAGCAAATAATGCAGAAGCCGACTTCCCATGCAAACCTGCCGTGAAATATTTATGAGGCATGACTTGAATAATTAATAGTTTCTCACAACTCGGAAACCTGTCTCCGTTGCATCCTCTCCACGCTCCAAGAGGAACTCCCCCTCCACTCAGCATGACAGCAGCACCACTGTGAAGCCTGCTGGAGTTCAGCCTCTGCCCCCCTAGCGGCCCTGGGAACCCCAAGCACTCAGAACTTCCCCTTTTGGATGGAGTCTCTTGGCTACTCCAGACTTGGGTGTACACACACACACACACACACACGTTCACCTGTCCATCCATCTCTCGGGAGGGCACCAGAGTCCCTGCACCACGGGACAGAGTATTGCAAGGTGCGGAAGCCCAGAGCTCCTCTGCTCAGCTTGTGCCATGGTGACGCTCCGCTTAGGATGCACTGGGCAGCGAAGGCTGGCAGCGGGGAGTGTGAGCCCTGTGCTCTGGGTCCCTGTTCCTTGCCTTTGTGCTTTGCACCACAGCTGGGAGAGTGCCAGGCAGTGGGCGAGCAGGTTCTGTGGGGGCTTCCCTCACCCTCCTGAGGTGTCCGAGGGTGAAGGAGCGTTGGTGGTCTGTCTGCCCTGGGGAACCAAGCAGTTGGACTCTGGGTGCTGAATTCTTCAAGGGGGAAGATTGCTAGGGAGGGAGGGAGAGAGAGAAATCCTCATTTAAATGCAGATACGGGCTTCTCACCTGGGACGGAGGAAAGTTTTTCCATTAAAATGCTAATGAAAGAACAAACTGCGACCCCAAATCCCCAGCCGGCTCTGGCTGTTTCTTCCCTGCCCCCATCCCCAGGCTGACAGGTGGCTGGGGATAGGCTTGGAGAGCCGCCAAGCATCTTAGTGACATGCTGGAACTCCTCCCTGGTTGGGCCACTGGGAGCTTGGGGCAGCCACTCAGAAGACCTGTGAAGGGGACCCCAAAAGTGCCCCCCAAATGACAGAAACTATAGACTTGGGGAGAACGTGATTAAGACCTGGAGCTCTGAAGTCAGATCTGCCAGGGAGCTTCCTGGCTGTGTAACCTTGGAAATGTACTTCACATGTGACAGGGGCAACAATACCTGCTTTACAGATGGCTGGGCACTTGGCTTGTATAAGCCTGTAGCTGCAGGTGCACAGCCTGACACCTGGGAAAGCACCCATGCAGCTGTCATGGTTCCCGTTACTAATCGGACATACAGACTCTCAGGGCCCAGATGCTGCCCACCATGGGCCAATAGACAATCCCCAGAAGGCAGCTCTGGGTCAGGGGCTCTGGAAGCCCCTTCCACCCCAGCTCAACCGTCTCAGACCTCCCCCTCTCCCACGCAGACGCTGACTCTCTCAGATCTAAAGCCCAGTCGGGGGCCCATGTCTGGGGGCACTCAAGTGACCATCACGGGAACCAACCTGAATGCAGGCAGCAACGTGGTGGTGATGTTCGGGACCCAGCCCTGCCTCTTCCACAGGTAATCTTGGGCGGCCCGGGTCTGGCAGATGCATCACCAGGGCAGTCTGTGGGTTCACGGAGACTAACCTTGGTGCCCCCATAGTACCAAGGATGTGCTGCAGAACCAGATTTAGAATCCACTCGGGGGAGCCTACTAGAACTGGTGAGAGCTAGTGAGAGCAGCACCCCAAAGGGCTGAGGGTTTCCTTCCCTGCCCCAGGGTTCAGCCCCAGAAGGGGGAGCCTTCCAGGAGCCAGGAGTCCAGGGGTGTGGAATGTTGTTGCAGGAGGCTCATGCAGCCAAGCGCTCTATGCCATGTGTCTGGGATGGGCTTCAGCCAGACGGATACCCCAAGGGAGCTATGCAAGAGCTGGGACAGATCTGAAGTCAGCCCCAGGCCAGGTTCTGCATTAAGTGTAGGGAAGACTTTTTTCAGGGATGCTGTGATGGGGAGAAAGTTTAGGCTCAATTCCCAAAGCAGCAAACCCAGCATGGCTGGCAGCAGAGGCATGGTGTTGTCTGGTCACTGAACAGAGTGAGGGGGTCAGGAGGTAGAAAACCCCTCAGAGAGAGAAAGAACAATGCTGGGTTCTTGTGGAAGGCAGGCCAGGGTGATCTGCTATCATGGTGAGGATGAGGGATCTCACTGGCCGAGGGTGACCAAGTGTCAAGCAGGGTTGAAACAGGGACTTCCAGCAAACTGCTGGAGCAAGAACCCTGCCTAAAGCATGGTTGTGGGCCCCAAGGTCCGCTCAAGGACAAGACCATGCTGAGAGGCAGAGGGACCTGTCTAAAGGTGGCCAAGGAGAGAATCTTTGCCACTGGCTCTGGAGCTGCGAGTTACCCATGAGGATGTCCGGAGGAATGTGGGTGGTGGGAAGCTGAGCCCAGACACCCTCGTCAGCCCCAGGAGCCCAGTGCTGTGCCTTGCCCCCTCCAGGCGCTCTCCCTCCTACATCGTCTGTAACACCACATCCGCAGACGGTGTGCTGGACATGAAAGTGACTGTGCAGGTGGACAGGGCCAAGATCCGCCAGGACCTCGTCTTCCAGTACGTGGAGGACCCTACCATAGTGCGGATTGAGCCGGAGTGGAGCATCGTCAGGTAGGATCTGCCCCCGATCCCAGCTGCCCGCCCTTGAACCTTCGTGCCCTACTTCGGTTCTCAAAAGCCAAGGAGAAGCTTGCATGCTGCACTGGGGATCTCGGAGCTGCAGTGTTGGTTTGAGCACATTGCAATCAGAACACCTCCTTTGCACAGGAGCTGGCTTGCAGGCCATGCTCAGAGTACAGAACTCGCCTTCCCCACCTGAAGGATGGCTGGGTAGGCTAGGACCGTGTCCTCTACTCGGAGGAGCACTCGTTCTATTGTCCTATGTCTCACTTCTGGCAAGTATGAGGCCCTGCCTTCAGGCTGAAGCATGGGAGAGAAGGGGTGAAGTCAGGACGGCTCAGAAGGAAGCCACACTGCCTAAGACCGTCCAAGGTCAAGCTCAGGTTCCTTCTCTGATGATCTGGATCGTGGTGTGCCCTCTGGTTGCCATCTGCACCTCTCCTTGGGGGCAGAGCTCAGGCCTTGCCCCTTCCAGGTGTCCCACCCCAGGGCACTGAATGCCCGTCCCAGGAGAGGGGAGGGAACCGGGCCCTGCAGTGATGTGTCCGGCATGCTCCTCCTGGCTCTCTCACTCTCCAGGTTGGCCAGGGGGTTTAGGAACCTGTGACTTCAGAGCCTGTGGAGTGCATGGTGTCAGGGGCTGCAAGCAGAGGGTCGGGAGCTCTTTCCCAGGCCATGTAGCATGCATGAGGACGAGAGAAGCCGAAGAGGGCATCCTTCAGCAGGCCTGCAGGGAGTGCAGGGAGAATCCTCACCAGGGTGTGTGTGCAACTCTAGTTCATGCAGCAGGGACCTGAGAAGTTACCTCACCTGCCAAGGCCAGCCTTCCTCACCTTCAACTCAAGCATAGGGTGGCTGCCAGCAGAGAGGAGCAAATGTTACAGGCCCAATAGGCACGCTCCCCACACTCTGTTAGCCCTGTTTCCCCTCTGTCTGCTCCAGCTCTGCAGGGGCCCCAGAATTGGGAGAACCAAAAGGGACTCAACACAGGCTGGGGCTAGGGACAGAACCGGGTCCATTGGAAGGAGCCATTGCAAAAGTCTTGGCCAGGGCTGAATCGGGCTGACTCCTGTTTTTGTCAATAAAATTTTATTGGAGCCCAGCAGTGTGCACCCAACTCTGTGTTGTCCATAGCTGCTTCCTCACTGCAACAGCACAGCCCAGGGATCGTGACAAGGACCACATGGTCTGCAAAAGCTGAAATATTTACATTCTAGAGTTACCGCCCCTACCTTAAGCCCAGAGGAGAGGCAGCTTTGCCTGCCAAGGAGGATCTGGTTATTCTCAGCTGTTCCTCTGTCCCAGGAGGGGCAGCCGTGGTCATAACGCAGGGGGAGGCTGTGATGTACAAGCAGGGCAGAGCAGACCCTAAAAAGCCAAACCAGAATTTGACCTGAGGGTCTGGTAAGTGCAAGAGATGGAGGCATTGCCCTGCACTCCCACCCCCGGGCCTGTCAGCATCCACCGCACAGTGAGTGCTGCTTGTATCATTGTATGGGACATAGAGTTGACTTCCATTGGGGTCTGGATCTGTGTGAGCCAGCTCCAGCATGCCTGCTGAGGTTACGGAAGTCTAAGCACAGCTGGTCAATGGGCTGGGCTCTGTACACGGCATGGCCTCCCATTCCTTACCAGCTGCTTGTGTAGCTAAGGAGATGTGCCGGTGGCCACTTGGCCATTGTGTGTTGGACTGAGGCCTGGGAGGCCTGGAGAGACAGCTGCCCACTAGATCTCACAGGCAAAGAGGCCTGTCCGGGTCTCACATGAATTGTCTTGCACGCACAAGCCCGTGTACACATGTGTGTGCACACATCAGAGAGAAAGTGCAAAAATCGGGCTGAGAGGCAAATGGGCAGGAGTGAATGTACGTGTGGGCAGTAAGGATTCTTCACCCACCAGCCTGATAACTGACTCCGTGTTTAGGTGGTAGGATTCTTCCCAAAGATGTTCGGGTAGTTGGGGATCTGGTTATTCCTTGCTTTCCTCTGAATAACCTCCCAAGAAAGATTCAGGCCAGGGAGCTGCCCTATCTCCATGTCCAGTCCAGGCAACTGCCCTCTCTCCATGTCCAGTCCAGGGAACTGCCCTCTCTCCATGCTGGCTGCTTAGTCCCTGGGGCAGGGCGGTGGCATTAAACTTCTCTTTGAAGGACTCCAGCAAGACGAGTGTCCTGAGCCCTCCCATGGGTGGTCTCCAGGTTCAGGAACTGACATCTGGAGCGTTCCACAGGTGTGTTCCTACAGGAGACTCCAGAGTGCCTGGCCCTCTACCCTGCTTGACCTCAGCCGAGGAAGTCTGCCCAAGTAGAATAGCATTACTTGGCAGGAGGAAGCTGCTCTGGGCACTGAGAGTTTGGCAGGAGGATCTGAGTGCCACTTCCACTGAGCCAAGCCCAGTGTGAATCGAGTCCCGAGGCCTGTGTGTGCTGGGGGTTGTGGAGAAGCTGCTGGCTCCAGGCAGTGAGGCTTCTGAGAGGCAAGGAGCTATGCTGTCACTGGGTCACACTGTGCAGCTCAGCAAGGAACACAAGAGCCACGGTCCTCATCCTTCCCTTGGGAGAGTTCATCCTGACCCCAACGCAGCAGCTTCCCACCCTCGCCTCTGTGCACCTGCCCACAGCTCAGCTCACATTGTCTTCCTTGTCACAGCTCAGCTTGCTTCCTGCCTGTGCCCTCTGTCCAGCACCATTGCTTTCCATCCCTGGAACTCACACACCTTCTTTCTTCCTGGCAGTGGTAACACACCCATCGCCGTCTGGGGCACTCACCTGGACCTCATACAGAATCCTCAGATCCGTGCCAAGCATGGAGGCAAGGAACACATCAACGTGAGTCCAGGGTGGGAGGTGATGCACTGCATGTGGCAGCCTGAGCCCAGGGATAGTGCCATTGAGAGTGCCAGGCACTGTCACCCTTATGGACAGAGCTGGTGCCGGTGCCAGCTACAGAGTGTCTGAGTACGTGGTTGGTCCTGGTTACCAGATCTGCAAACCTGCTGTATAAGCCCCATGCTCTATGCGCAGAGTGCCTGCCCAGTGTGTGCACACAGCATCACCTTCCCCTCTGACTCCTCCCCCAGGTCTGTGAGGTCCTCAATTCCACCGAGATGACGTGCCAGGCCCCAGCTCTCACCCTGGGTCCCGACCACCAGTCGGACCTGACTGAGAGGCCCGAGGAGTTTGGCTTCATCTTGGACAACGTCCAGTCCCTGCTTATCCTCAACAAAACCAACTTCACCTACTACCCCAACCCTGTGTTTGAAGCTTTTGGTCCCTCCGGAATACTGGAGCTTAAGCCTGGCACACCCATCATCCTAAAGGTGAGGCGGGGGTGGGGAAGGCTCCTGTTCAGGCACCCATACAGAAGGAGGCCAACTCCCACTCTGAGTTTTCACTGGAAGGGAACTTTATGGCACAGGGCCCTCCAGGGCAGCTGGTGCACCAAGGCCATTTGACTCCCAGGCTTGTGACCGTGGAGTCCAGGGGCTGGGAGGTTCAGGATCTCACACTACGTCTGCGTGGGCGGCCGTGAGCAATCCAGGGCATGGGCTGTTCTGGGAGTCCTGGGTTCCAAATGAACTGTAACTCGTCTGAGCATTTGGTGACAGTGCTTGCAGCTGAGCAGCGAGAGGCGGCAGAAGGCCTTCATGATGGCCTTCCCGCCCAGAGGAGGGAGAAAGGCAGTGTGCACACTGCTCTTGTCTGTTTGCTGTTACTGCCATGGAATCCCTGAGCCTGGGTACTTACAGAGAAAAGAGGTTTATGGAATGTGCAACTAGAAAGGCTCCCAGGATCAACAGCATGGTGCAGGTTCTGCCAAGGGTTCTCTGGTTGTGGCAGCTCAGTCACCGACAAGACAGTAGCATGCTGGGGAGGGAAGAGGCGCATTCCGGGTAGGAAGCCAGAGTGTGAGGAGCGGACAGCAAGGGCCCTTTCCGGGCAGCACCAGGAAAGCCCTAAGTGCAATTGACCAGGTCACTCAGGGAGCCCAGCCTGCAAGCGGGTACCATGGGGAACAAAGCACGGCATGGACCGGGGGCTGGAGAGACCCGTCCAACCGGTGCGCTCTGCACCTACGCTGTGATACAAGGGACTCTAGGTTGGGGTGGGAAGGCTGTGGTCCAACTCTGGGTTGGAGACCAGGATTTTTCCATGCCTTTAGGGCAAGAACCTGATCCCACCCGTGGCAGGGGGCAATGTGAAACTGAACTATACTGTGCTGGTCGGGGAGAAGCCGTGCACCGTGACCGTGTCGGACGTGCAGCTGCTGTGCGAGTCCCCCAACCTCGTCGGCAGACACAAAGTGATGGTGAGGCTGACAGATACCGGTTCTGGGGGGAGCGTTCACAGCGGGGCAGGTGGTGGGAGTCGCGCTGCTCTGTCTCCAGCCCCTGGAGCTGAGGCTGTTGGATGTCTCTCCTAAGGAGCCTACACTCCTGCTTCCCTCTTCTTGTTTTGAGCCTATCTGTCCCCAAGCTGGCCAGTGCAACCTCAAGGACAGTGTGAAACAAAGGCAATCGTGGGCAGCAACGTTTACTTTTGGCCAGAAGGCTTCCAAGAGGAGGACTGCTGCTGGCCTGACCTGGGTCCTGGTCCTCCCTCCGGCCGGTAGGCCATGAATTAGGTCTGGAGGCATCGGGCATAGTATCCCATCAGTCTCTTGCATCCAACGTGGAAACAATGCTAGCTCCCCAGGAGGAGGCCTGCAGGGTTTCCTGGTTGGAGCATCACCTCTGCTGGTCAGGCCCACCTGGAGCCCTGTCTTCACCAGCAGCCACGAGGGGGTGCTCCCTGGTATCCCACTTCTTCCACCCACTGGGCCCCATGCCCTGCCTCACTCCCAGCTCCCCCTCACCCTGTGTGTCACCTCAGGCCCGAGTCGGTGGCATGGAGTACTCCCCAGGAATGGTGTACATCACGCCCGACAGCCCGCTCAGCCTGCCCGCCATCATCAGCATCGCGGTGGCCGGAGGCCTGCTCATCATCTTCATAGTGGCCGTGCTCATCGCCTACAAGCGCAAGTCCCGCGAGAGTGACCTTACCCTGAAGCGGCTGCAGATGCAGATGGACAACCTGGAGTCCCGTGTGGCCTTGGAGTGCAAGGAAGGTAGCCAGGGGACGGGGTTCTGCAGACCTTCCCCTCCGGCGTGTGTGTACATGTGTGCGCGTGCACGGATCTGAACCTCTCATACACAAGCAAGCAGATGCAGCCATGGGCAGGCTAGGGCAGGAGTGGAAGAGGCTGGGACCCACCCAGCCAGGAGGAGGCCACCCGATCCCCAGGAGGTGTCAGCCTGGGATCCGTTCAGATCCAGTGCAGCAGCCTCCAGATGGGAGAGCCGGACACGCTGGGCTTCCCGCTGTCCTGGAGGGAAAGCCCAAGGATGCCTTGTTGGGACACATTCAGGCAGCCCTCAACTGGCTTGTTTCAGTGGGAAAAGCAGGCTGCAGGGCTGTCGAGGGATTCCCAAAAGTTGACAAACGCCACCATGAGGTGAGATCCCTGGCACAACACCCAAGGAGGAAGGCTGCCAGTCCCAGAGCTGCCCAGGAGAAGCCAGGATGGGCTGTGTGTGCTTGGCTCTCCCTGCGACATGGGCACAAGCCAGGGTCTGTTCTGATGGGGCAGCAGAGCCAATGCAGCCCTCTCTGCCTCCTTCAGCTGTCAGCACAGCGTTGGCCTGGTGGGACTGTTAATTACTGCCTTTTATTATATTTACGCTGCCTAATTTTTTTCCGCAACATACTCTTCCCTCTAATTAGGTGTAGTGATTAGAATCTCTTTTATGTGTGGCAGGCTTGAGCCTTTGAATGTTGGAGGCTCTTGGTGACTTCAAGGAAAGCTGCAGATGGATGAAAAGCCAGCTTCTCTTCCTTCCAGCCAGCTAAGCACTCCAGCTGGGAGGGGGGCTGCCCTGGGTTGGGTGGCACCCAGAGCTCCCCACAGCAGGTTCCTGAGCCAGACGGGAGTCCGGCCTAGAGCTCTCCCGTGCCTTCCAGCTCCTCTGGGGGAGCTACACGACCTGGCTGGGGGGAGCTAATCTGGAGGATCAGCCGTGAACGTTCCTTCTAGGGGCTGTCCAGAGTGGCTGCTGAACCTGGTCTGGTGGAGGTGTTTTCTCGAAGCCTCACCATCAGCCACGATGCCAGCCAGACTCACAGTCACAGCCAGCCTGAGCTTTCAAGACACAGATGTATACACGTGAGTGTGTGCATCCACTCCCACACACTTCCTGACACATTCACATGTGCATGTGCTCATGACACTGTCTCACGGATGCACAGACACGGCCCTGCTCCCACTCACTCTAAGCACCTGACACACTCATCCATGCACTGCCGGACTCACACTCGGATGGACACTCGTGAATCCCACACTCCTGCAAGCACACACACCCACGTGCTCGCCCTAGATACCCGCTGAGTCTGGGAGGCTTGGGTGACAGTAGGCTGCAAAGGCCTCTAGTCTGTCCGTTCACACACAAGCACGCCCGCCAGCTACAGCGGTTCCACTCGCCACATTGGCATTCTGCCTTTAGCAGCATGCTCCAGGACAAGAATGGCAGTATCTGTGTGCCTGGGGCAGCAGGAAGGGGTACAGGCCTTGCCTGGTGTTCAACTCACGTCCCCTTGCAGCTCTCGCACAGGAAGCCTGGGTGGCCAACAGATGCAAGGCCACGGTCTGTGTCTGAGGTTTAGGGTTAGCAAAGCTCCTGGGGCAGTTTCTGGGGAAGCCATGTCCTGCCCATGTGGTTGTAAGAGTCTCCTGGTTTCCGGGCTTGCGTTTCCAAGTCCCTACAGCCATGCGGGGCTGGCAAATCCCTTCAGAGTCCACAAGTTAGTGTTTGCCTGCCCTGGGATTCATGCCAGCAGCAAGAAGTCTCAGCTAGTTGACATGCCACTGTGTGCTGCCCCACACCAGCTTGAGTATGTATGTGTAGCTACATGCACCAAGGAGAAAGGCAGAGCTGGGGGTGCTGGGTATCCATCCTCTGAGAATCTGCTGGGGCAAGGGTGGCCTGGAGGAGGATGTGCCCAGGCAGGGAGGCACTCGGCTTTGGCAGAGCTCCTGACAGCCCCTGGCTGCACCACATCCTCCCAGCAGCCAGTTAGGATCTTGGAAATCTGTTTTGAGGCCTGAGCTGCCACCAGAGTCTTGTCCACATGCAGATCCTAATCCATCACCAGGTAGCATCAGCTTGAGGACTGCAGGACAAAGATGCACCTGCATGCTTATACAGAACAAGTCCACCAGTGTGGCAGAGCCTCCAGCTGAATCGCCTTGGTCAGGCTGATGACCCTAGGGAGCGACATGGTACAGAATCCAGCTTTCCTTCCAATGTCTTCCTTGATCTGAAGACACTGTGGGGAAGTCTGATGAGGAAACCCACTACAAAACCCAGCCTCAGGGACACACTGGTCCTCCCTGCAAGCTCTCCCTTCTCCCCCCTCCACTGCCCAGCCTTTCGCCATCAGAGAATTGCCTCTGGTCCCAACCACAGCACACAACTGTGCTCTCCACACTTGGAAAGGCATTCTTGTTGTCTCCTTGCTAACCACATTCTCCCCAGCTGCTTGAGGCACAGCGTGTCGTGTCACTCCCACACCGTGGGAGCCTTTGCTCACGGCTCCTCTGTGCCTGTGGTGAGGGTTGTGGGCTTTCAGGTGGGGGTGGCTCTTGGGCAGTCCCAGCCAGCCGCCCCACAGGTCTGTCTTCATTCCAGCTTTTGCCGAGCTGCAGACGGACATCCATGAACTGACCAGTGACCTGGACGGAGCCGGGATCCCCTTCCTGGACTACAGAACCTACACCATGCGGGTTCTGTTCCCAGGAATAGAAGACCACCCTGTGCTCCGGGACCTGGAGGTGAGGCGTGGGGCTTAAGCTGGTGGGAGAGCAGGGAGCCAGTGTGTTGGTGACCTGAAGGCAGCGGGCTGAGGCCAGGAGAGGATTGGGACTTGGCTCAACTCCCTCCAGCACAAGCTGCTGCCCCTGGCAGAAACAGGGCCCCATAAGGGAGGTTTGCATCCGTGCGTTCAGCATGAAGTCTGTCTTGCAGTACCTTTACCTGTGGTCTCGCTGTTCCAACTGTGCTCTGAAAATACTGCATGGGAAATTCCAGAAATAAATAATGCATGTGTTTTTGATAGCTTTTATTACAACATTTGTTGTAATTGTCCCATTTTATTTGTTGTTTATCTCTTACTGTGCCTCTTCTGTAAACTGAACTTCATCATGGATTTGTCTGTGTGGGAAAACATGTGGCCTATACAGGGTTCCGGGCAATCTGAGGTTTCAGGCACCTGCAGAACATCCTGGACCACATCCACTTTAGATAAGGGGTATCGCACACACCTGTGCTCTTGTGCGTGCCGGCGGTGTGGCCCACCCACCAGCTGTGCCACTGCCTGTGTCTGCTGGGAAGATGGCTGGCCTTGTAAGGTTTCCCAACAGACAGGCGGGTTCGCCCACCTCCCCACCCTTCCCCTGGCTGCTGCAGGCTCTGGGAAAGAAGCAGCAGATATGGAGTTGGGGACTTTGTTAGGCATCACTGGATTGAGCATTCCCTTTCTCGGATCTTGGATGATCTTCCCATCCCCAGAGAAGTAAAGGGACTTGCCCAAGCTTCACACTAGTGTGACATCACAGTCTGTGGGAAACCACGAGTCCTGACTGAGTCACGTGGCTGTCAAAAGGAAGCTGGTGGGCACTGCGCTAGCTGGAGGATCAGGCCTGGTGATCCGCCAGCCATGGAGCACCCTGACCTCCCGGAGATCCTCCTGGGGGGCTGTGAGGGTATGCCGAGGCCCCAGATCCGCAGCTTTGCATCACCATCAGGCAAGAGCTGAGACCTCGGAGTCTGGCAGAAATGAGTTCAATCCGAGCAATTGCTGCTTACTAATGGGGTGGGGCTATCTCCATGCTTCAGCTGATTCATCGGTTGGGCTCCGTGGGGCTGAAGTGTGTGAGGCAGCAATGGCCTTGATAAGGACTCCGGGGCCTTAGCCTGGCAGATTGTTGTGCTGTAGCAAGTGAAGGGAGCATTATCCATGTGACCCAGCCCATCTGCAGGTTATTGGCATGCCCAGTAGATGCATCAGAGAATCCTCCTGTCTCCCCACAGGTCCCAGGCTACCGGCAGGAGCGTGTGGAGAAAGGCCTCAAGCTCTTTGCCCAGCTCATCAACAGCAAGGTCTTCCTCCTGTCTTTCATCCGCACGCTGGAAGCCCAGCGCAGCTTCTCCATGCGCGACCGTGGCAACGTGGCCTCGCTCATCATGACCGTGCTGCAGAGCAAGCTGGAGTACGCCACCGATGTGCTCAAACAGCTGCTGGCCGACCTCATCGACAAGAACCTGGAGAGCAAGAACCACCCCAAGCTGCTGCTCAGGAGGTCAGCACGCCCCTCTCCATCCTGCCCAGCCCAGCCTAGCCTGACCCTGCCCTCCTGGACTAGCCCAGCCCAGCCCTGCCCAGCCCAGCCTAGCCTGACCCTGCCCTCCTAGACTAGCCTAGCCCAGCCCTGCCCAGCCCAGCCCAGCCCGGTCCTGCCCTCCTGGACTAGCCCAGCTCAGCCCTGCCCAGCCCAGCCCAGCCTAGCCCAGCCTAGCCCAGCCTAGCCTGACCCTGCCCTCCTGGACTAGCTGAGCCCTGTCCAGCCTAGCCCAGCTTAGCCTAGTCTAGTCCAGTCCTGCCCTCCCTGACTGGCTCTCCAGGCCCGTCAGGGTGACCGTGCAGAGTTCCTGGAGTTGCCACATTCCCAGGGGCTTGGGGAGACTCGAGACCTGAGGCCGGACTGCAGCTCACGCCTCCACTCCTCTCCTTAGGAGAACCTGTGAGACGGCGTGGCTGTCATTTCACCTTCTGCTTGGCTCCCCACCTGCAGCTGCTCTCATCTGCCCTCCCTGTCCTTCTGCTTTCTTGGCTTTGACCTTTGCTACTGGAGAGCTTCTCTCATGGGGTCTTCAGAGGTCGTTGTGTGGCCTCATCTGGGGCAGATCCTGTGGCCTGCTGCTGTCTGTGCCACCTTGGTTCATTCCCCAAGTGGGCGTAACGGTGGGAGCTATGCTGATCTGAAGGCAGGAGTGCCTCTTGCTGGTCTCCCACATGGGTGCAGGGTCCTGCTGCTTTCCCAGGCCACAAGCAGGGAGTGGAGTGGGAATGGAGCAGTTGGAACTAGTGCCCATACGGGATGCCGGCGCTTGCAGGTAGAGGAGTAGCCTATGAACCATTGTAATGGCTTCCAAAATCTGAGTCCTGATGAGGAACCCGGGTGTCTGAAATGCCTGTGAAAGCCCGTGAAGCTCGGGCTGCAAGCCCTGCACGGACAGCTTAGCCCACACAGGCTGTATTTCCAGCTCCTGCTGTAAGCTGCAGACAGCTCCCAGGTCTACCCCGGATCTGCCCCTAGGAGGTTTCCCGATGCCCCGTCTCTCGCTTAGTCAACACTGTGTGCAGACAGCGTTTCCCGCGGCCTTGGCCTGCTGGGACAGCCAGACACTGGGTCAAGGCCCTTTCGCAGTCCTCAGCCAGAGCTCGCATTCTCACCGGACCCCCGTGTGCTGGGAGGCTGTCTCTTCCACTCCTTACATCGCCCAGTCTCTTTGACCTTGACCCATCTGAAGCCACACGGTCCCACAGCAAATGGCTGCATCCAGCCCTCTGTCGGCACCACCCACTGCTCTTGTGTCCTGAATGCCAAGTCGGGAGCAAGGGCTCTGGGGAGTGGGTGGGCTCAGGCCCTTTCCGGGTGCGGCAGGCATTGGCCTGCACAGCTGCGAAAGGTTGCTGTGTAGAGGAAGCAGCTAGGTGGCTCATTCTGTTTTGTTTTACTCCCAGCACGCAGCCACCTGCCGGCATAATTTGGGGGTTGCCGCCATGGGCAGCACCCCTGCTGACAGGTTCCGCGTTGGTCCTGGTCCAGCGCCTCCTGCCGTTTCCTCATCACGTGCTCTTGGACGGTCGGGCCCCTCACACCCCCAGTCCATTTCCTTTTCCTCTTGCCCCCAGCCGCCCCCTCTTTTCACAAGTCTTCCTTCTTTTCTGTTCCCAGATCATTGTGTGCTGGCAGCCACCCAGCTGCCTTGGGGTTTTAGTCATTAGTATCTACTGGCAATTGCAACTTCACATGGGGTTCATGCCTACCTGGATGGTCAGCGTGCGTCTAGAGTTAGCTTTGTGCTTAGTGCAGGCTCGAAGTGGAGGCAGCCACAGATGTTCAGCTGACAACATTGCCCCGTTTTCCCTTCTGACCTAAAGAACAATATGAAAGATGTGAGTTAAACTCAAGAAGGAACTCGTGACTGCGAACGAAACAGTGCAAGAATTTCCAGAGGAGCTCCCAGAGTATTGAGACATTTCACAGTTCAAAAAGAATTTTTGAAATTTTATTTGAAAGGCAAGGAGACAAAGTGAGGCAGGAAAGAACTCCCTTCCGTTGTCTCACCTCCCGAATGCGTGCACTGACCAGGACGGGGATGGTCTACAGCGAGGGTCAGGACGTAGCGCCGTGAACCAGGCTCTGCCACCTCCTAGAGTGACGGAAAGGTGAGCCTGGGAGCAGCGCTGTCTCAGGCCTGCTGAGACGGTGTCTCACACAGCCCTAGAAATGGGCTGATCTGTGGTGTTGACTCAGTCTGACAGCAGCCCGGGAGTCTTTAGCGTGCGTCATGACGTAGACTGCGTCGTGACGTAGACTGCGTCGTGACGCAGCCTGGCCCGTCTGGCATTTTCACCATGAGCCTTTCCTCTTGCCAAATTTCCTGTCTGCTTAGGATCTCTGCTGTTTTCTTCTTTTCTGCCCTAAAGAAACACATCTGGCTTTTGGCCCTGGCGAACATGACCAACATGACCGTCCATCGAAGTCAGCACAGTTACAAGTCAATACAGTGGAAAGCCCCCGGTTCCGCAGACGCTGCAAGGGGGCCAGGGTCTGACCAGGTGCCTGGTGGTTGCAGTGTTAGATGGCACAGCTGCAGAAAGCTGCCGGTCCCATGGGGAGTCCCAGTGGACAGGGGTGTTCTGTGATGTTCCCATGAAACCCCCATCTAGTGTGGACTTCCAGCTTTGTAGTCAAAGCTCGTGGGAGGAGAGGCGTAGAATAGGTGCCATGAAATCCCCTCCCCCTTTTTTGGAAAGAGAGTTATACAGAAAAGGCAGATGAAGGCCAGAGACAAAGATGCTCCATCTGCTGGTTCACTCCCTGAATGGCCACCACGTTCCAGGCTGAGCTATGCCAAAGCCAGGAGCCAGGAGCTCCACCCAGGTCTCCATGCAGGTGCAGGGGTCCAAGGACCTTCCCAGGTACGTTGATGAGCTGGATTGGAAGTGGAACAACTGGTCCTCAAATGGGCACTCAAACGGGATGCTGGCACTGCAAAGCGGTGGTCTAAATGGCTGTGCCACAGAGCTGCCCCCATGGGCTTCTTGTGCTCATTAAGCTCTCGCGACTCAGCCTGTATGTGGTCAGCTTTCCGCCTGTGGCTCTCACACACTGCTGCTTTCTTGTCTTGCTGCATGGGTCCCTTGGGACAGGACAGAGTCGGTGGCTGAGAAGATGCTGACCAACTGGTTCACCTTCCTGCTCTACAAGTTCCTCAAGGTAGGACTCAGTGCAGCCACACTCTGGCCCTGCCTCCTAGACTTGACCTTCATGCTCCCCTGCCTGCCCCATGGTGCTCCACACCTCCTGGGCCACCCTCATCAGGCCTGGCTCACAGCCCGACTCATTGCAGCTGTCCAGATGACAAGGCCTCGGTGGTCCTAGCTTCCGAGACCCAGTGTCTCCCTGGCTGGCCAGCTCTCTCCCAGATGAGTCTTGGGGAGGGCCCCGTGGAACCCATAAAGCTGCATTCTCATTCTACGCCAAACCAAGTAGTACATTCTTTTTCTGCGACCTCACCTGACTGAGTCTGATAAGGGTCCCCGGCAGGTAGAAGAGTCACCTGGGGTGGCAGATAAGCCCACCGTGGACTTGGGAGGTGGAAGGCTCCTTGTATTCAGAGGAGCTTGGGCCACCCAGAGCTGACCCCTGTCTCTTAATGGGGCCTCAGGGAGCCACGGAGGGGGTCTGAGGGCAGGAGAAGGAGCAAGAGCTGGGGGGGCAATAGAGCCAGGCACGGAGCAAGAGCTGGCTCTGGGAAACTGGTAGGAAGACACAGGTGGGAGCAGACCCTGTGGTCCAAAACGCTGAGAGCATGGCCGAGCAGAAGAGGGCAGGGTGAGGAAGTCAGAGGAGAGATTGAAAATCAGCCTGAATGCCCAGGGAGGAAAAAGCAGGCAGCGACCAAGAGTTGCCCTTTGGAGATGCCGGCTGGGGCACAGACTGCACACCCGTGCCTCCCAGACCCACCAGCATGGTCTCTGCTTGCATCCAGGAGTGTGCTGGGGAGCCCCTCTTCTCCCTGTTCTGCGCCATCAAGCAGCAGATGGAGAAGGGCCCCATCGACGCCATTACGGGGGAGGCGCGCTACTCCCTGAGTGAGGACAAGCTTATCCGGCAGCAGATCGACTACAAGACCCTGGTAAGCCAGCCTGGTTGTGAGGCTCTCCCTAGGAGCCTGGCAGCCCTACACAGTGAAGGTGACCAGGGGCCTGGGGCCTGGGGCTCAACACAGCCAAACCTTACTTCAGCAGAAGCACTGTGGGGCCTCAGGCCAAGCCCAGGTCGTGACGGAGAGCCCACTCCTGGTCCCATTCTTGTCATCACTTCTGCCAGTGGAGGATTGACATTTTTCAGACAATTCTGTGCAGGCAGGAAGGACAGGAAAGTAAGCAGAATTCCTCCTGTCTCCAAAGCACATGCTTGCGCACTAGTTCAACTGCAACTGTGGTCTGAGTTGTACGAACAAGGTCAGGATGGCCTCGTGGGAAAAGGGCTGTGTTCAAGGGCTGTGCCAAAGTCATCCTGTTTGAAAACAGTTGCCCAAGGAAGCAGCAGAACTTGGCATTGGGGAGCACAGGTCTACAAGATCTGAACCCGGAGTCCCCATGGACCAGCTGGGTGATTTGGAGCAGGTCAGCGTTCTTTTAACTGAATCAGTAGGGGTCAGGGGTAATGATAGAGCAACTAAAGTGGAGCCATAACAGCTGTCTGCAGTGAGGCTGGGCAGAGGGCTCATTGGCGCAGGATGGCCACCATCCGGTGCCAGTGCTCACTATTGTTGTCCATCCATCCGCCGGCCGTCTACCGCTTCTCACCCAGGGAGCCCACTCTCAGGGGAGGGAGTTGAGAGAGTGGGTAAGAAGTCAAGAGAAGAGCTGTGTGTTGGGCCTACTGTGCGTCTGCCTCCCACAAGTGGAGGCAGATGGAGACAGCAAAGGAATGGAGTGGATGAGGCCAGAGAAGAGCTGAGCAGCGGGCCAAGACAGGGTTGAGCTGGGACAGACAGGATTCCCAGACAACCCTGTGGCCCACCAGAGATACCGTGCCCGCCTGTGAAGAGAGCTGGCCCTGCTGGTTGAGGAGACTGAACCACTGTTGCCCTGCCCGTTCCCATCTCCTGAGAGCGTGGGGATCCCCAGCTGGCCGAGGGAGCAGCCTTGCCAGCATGGTGTGTGCGGGCACAGACTCAGCGGCAGCAGCCTGGGAAGGAGGCCCCTGCTTCCTTGCAGCTCCCGTCTGCTCAGTCAGAGTAGGAAATCCTGCCAATAGAGGCCTGCTAGGGTTTCCTTTCAGCATCTCCTGCCCGTCCATTCCCACTCTTTGCTGATGTGCTGCATGCTGCAGTGAGTTGGCGGGACGCTCTGTCCCCACGTTGCTGCTGCCCATATTCCTGGGGAGTTAGTCCGGAGAGCTGGTGTCACTGACTGCACTTAAAGAGAATGGAAGGACCCGGGAGGGGCGGCTCCCAGTGCTTCAGCCGTGAGGGACCGGGAAGGACAGGGAGCTGGCTGCAGACAGAAGAGGTGAGCCCGGTCCAGGTCAGGTTTGGGGGGCAACCAGGAAGCTGTAGCCTGCATGCCTTGGTCTCTCAGGCCTTTCTGCCTGGGGAGGCCCAGCAGGTCCTCTCCTTGCGCTGCACTGACCCGGACTGAGGGCAGCCCGAGCAGCAGGATGCTGGGGAGGGCACACATGGACTTGCAGGCCAGGGCCCTCCCACCATCACTTTCTGTTGAGTGCATTTTGAGGGTGCGAGTTTGGTTTTATAGATTCAAGGGATATTTTTTCTTTCTTAATGGAACAGGCGTGTCTCGTTGGCGCTGCTCGCAGTCAAGTTGCTAATGAAAGGCAGGCATCCAGGACTGCCACATGGAGTGGGCCGGGTGGGGGGATGTCTGTCGTCTGGATCTGCAAACCAGATGGGCCAAGTGGGAAATGGCTGGGGGAAGGGGCGCCGGGGATGGCTTATTCCCGGAAGCAGAGTCCAGGCCGCAGGGCTCACAGGGCATCTGAGCCCTCCTTGGCTCCCAACTCGCCCTCCCTCACTCCCGACCCGCCCTCAGTGCAACAGACCCATTAGGAGAACAGCAAATCAACAGGATCTCAAAATCTGTTCAAGAAAGAAAGATGGTCTCGCGACACGGACTGTCCCCTGTTCCTGCTGGCTCCGCCGTGGGAAATAGAGCCTCCGCTCCAGGACGCCGCCTCTTCCCTAACAGAGGGCTTTGCCTGCAAAGTCAGGGAGGAATCCCAGGGGGCCTGAATCAGCTGGTTTTTAAAGGGTGCTTTCTTATTTTTAAGAAACACCTTAAGCTTCTTGTAGATTCTCCAAGTTCCCATCAGCTTTGTGAAAACCAAAGCTTTTGAACCCTGCGAGAGGAGTCGGAATTCCCTGAGCTCACACATGTGTGTCTGGGCGGAGTGACAGGGAAAGACAGGCTGACATCCAGGGCAGGAAAGGGGGTCCGGGGGCTAGCTGCGTGCCCTGTACAGGCTGACATCCAGGGCAGGAAAGGGGGTCCGGGGGCTAGCTGCGTGCCCTGTACAGGCTGACATCCAGGGCAGGAAAGGGGGTCCGGGGGCTAGCTGCGTGCCCTGTACAGGCTGACATCCAGGGCAGGAAAGGGGGTCCGGGGGCTAGCTGCATGCCCTGTACAGGTCGCCCCAGCTGCTTCTGTGCGCTCAGTGTCTCCTTTGAAAACAACATTGTTTCTGGACGGAGTTCAGTGTGCAGCTAGTACAATGCAAAAGCCACCGTGGTTTCCGCTGGTTCGTCTGGGTGGGGAAGGACAGTGGGATTGGTGGGAATGCCATCCTCCTGGGAGAGCCAGAGTCATGGCCAGGTCTGCAGACATCCAGTCGTCAGCGCTGTCGCCGTTGCCCTCACCTACAGGCCCCCTTTCTCTCTACCCCCAGGTCCTGAGCTGCGTCAGCCCAGACAACGCCAACAGCCCCGAGGTCCCAGTGAAGATCCTCAACTGCGACACGATCACTCAGGTCAAAGAGAAGATTCTGGATGCCATCTTCAAGAATGTGCCCTGCTCCCACCGGCCCAAGGCCGCAGATATGGACCTGGGTGAGCAGGCTGCTGCCCAGGAGCACCCCGAAGCTGCTCCCATCTTCTCCTGCAGCAGGAGGCCAAGGGGGGCGCAGGGGGCAGAGGGGCAGGGCCATCGGCCGGAGAGAGCCAGGACCCCCAAGGGGTTAGATTCCACAGCCTGCTTGGCTGAGCTGTGAGCAATGGCCCTGGCCACGTGGCAGGTCACACCTCCGGGGCCCTCAGAGGGGAGAAGCCTCTGGAGAGGGAGAGTTAGACATGAAGTCTGCTCAGACCCGGTGGCCGGGCGCTGGCTGCTGCACCTCTGCTGCCCTCTCCATCTCTGCCCTCCCCAGCTCTGCCCTCCCCCAGCTCTGCCCTCTCCAGCCCTTACCCTCCCCCAGCTCTGCCCTCCCCAGCCCTTACCCTCCCCAGCTCTGCCCTCCCCAGCCCTTACCCTCCCCCAGCTCTGCCCTCCCCAGCTCTGTGCTGTCATTCGTGCTGAACAGCTTGAGGATCTGGGTCAGCCATAGAGGATAAAGAACGCACAGAGCAAAATGAGCTATGACAGCCTGCTGGGGTGCAGCGTGACACTGCATTTGAATGTTCCACGAACAGTTCTCACAGCCTGTCCGGACAAGGGCATGCCACTTAGGGCCTCTCCACTGAGTCCAGGAAGTGGTGCCTGCATTTCTGAGGGCATCGTCTGGGGGAAGTCCTTGTGGGGCGCCACAGGCTCGGGAGAGGCCGGGGTGTGGGACAGAGCAAATGGGACGGCCTCAAGAGCCCTGGGTGTGAGACGGGTGCTATCGGGTCCCTTGGTCAAGTTCCTTCACCTGTGCTCGCCCAGGAAATGGCATGGAGATTATGAAAGCACCAGACTCACAGCAGAACCCAGCAGGGTGATGCAGAGCTGGGCTCAGCCTGTGCACTCAGTACTGGCTGCTGCGGAAGCCAGTCCCAGGAAGGACACAGTACAAGCAGCCTGCCACAGCTGGCCATGCAAACCAAGGCGTTTGTGCATACATGTACAGTGTCTGGGGTCCCTATCAACACAGGGAGGGAGGACCCTCCAGGGGCCCTTCGTCCATCCATCTGGCCTCTAATCTGGCTGCAGCTAAGCCGTCCAAGGCAGATGGGCATCTAGACTGCTTTCTCAAATCCGGAGGGATTTCTCCACCCATCCGCCGCTTGTCCCATCTCCCCTCCCAGCTTCTGATGCCCAAGGACTACTGGGATCAGGAATTTGGTTCTTCCCCAAACTCCCACTTCTTCTTTAGCCCTGGGTCATCGCGTGTGGCTCTGAGTAGTGTGTGTTTGGCCCTGTGCCCTGCGCCCAGATACTCTGGGCAAGACTTGGGACAGGTGTGCTGCCTCTGCTTTGGAGATGCTTTAGAGTGTGCCGTTTCCAGGACGAGTGTGAGATGCCAAATGCACGCATGTGTATGTGTTTTGTGTGTGTCCCACACTGGGTGTGAGTCAGCTACATACGGCTTGTCCGAGGCATTGTACTCACTGTTGCTGCCTCACACACCATGGGTGTCGGGAGACAGCCTGCTGAGAGCACACCAGGCAATGGAGGGAGCTCCCCAGGGGCTCTCATAGGAACACGGAGTTCAGCCGGGTGGCCAGGCAGAGCCTGCCCTTTTGCTTTGTCCACGAGGCTCCCCTGTGTCCTGAGCCTAACTGGTGGAGTGGTCGATGAGGCTGGCAGGTTCTGAGTGTGTGTGTGGTTGTGTGCGGAGCTGTGTGCTCACGCTTTGCGTTGGGACCCCTGGGATCCCCCAGGAAGGACCCGGAGCCTCAGGCCTCGCAGTCTGTGGGAGTCTTGCAAGGGAGAGGTGTGGGGCACAGGACATGCAGTGTTCTCAGAGCACAGGGTCCAGGGTCCCCTGACCCCCGATCCATGTCCACACACAGGTACAGGACAGGGGAAGTGCTGCATCACTGAGGTCCCCCAGGAAGGCACCGTAGGAGAGCTTGCCTGCTGGCAGCTCCGTGCCAGGCTGGTGTGCTGCCCAGAACCCTTGCTGGTATTCAGCACACTTGCGAAGGCGCGGCAATTTCCTGTCTGGGCGAAGGGATTCCTTTGGTCGCTACCCACTGCTCAGAGGAGACAGTGCTGTCCTATGGCTCTGCAGCTCCGAGAGGCCCAGAGCCTTGGCCATGATCACACAGCGGCAGGCGCAGACAGACCGTGGGCTGCTTCCCCTCTGCTATTAGCAGTGACCTCTAGAGACTCCTCCAGTTGAATGCAAATGCTCTAGCCTAGCCCCCACAACTCACTGCCCTCACTCGGCCTTGTGGCTCAAGTCGGGCTGAAAGAATGTATTTTCTTTTCAAATAAGTAATTCCTGTATGCAATAGTAAGATACTCTATCTTCCGAGTGAGATATAAAGAGTCCGCAGCGGCTGTCTCCCCAGTTTGCATTTTCCACTGCACCTGATGGGAAGGACTGATAAAAATAATGGGATTTCTTTTGCTTTTTTTATTTCACCTCCCTCTCTCCCTGCAAGGTAGAAGTGTAACAAATTGGATTGTGAGTCTGTCTGTCCTTTGTGCCCAGAACCTGGAGCAGGGCATGGGGCTGCCGGGTTGGAGCTGCTGGGACAGGTCAGCACCAGCAATTTTCTCAGGGTGCCTTGTATATGAAGGCCAGGGTCACCTTCCATGTTCCTGCTGCCACCACCTGCCTTTTCTGCAGCCCAGCATGCAGTCCCATGTCCCCCCTTCCAGCTTAGCTCTTAGAGTGCTAGCTTGGCTTTCTTGCATTAGACTTGCAGATCTCTCTCCAGACACCCCCAGACACCCCCAGACACAGTCAACCAGGATGCTGAGGTCCTAAATGCAGGGGTACATGGTTACTGGTTTCTTCTACTAGGCTCCAAGTGCCAGAGTTTGATGACTTTGCATTTGGGAACCTGCTCTCCCGAATCATCCTTTCTGTTTTAACAAGGTATTGTTAATAGACACAGCTCAGTTCCCAGGTCAAGACTCTGACCTTGTGGGCAGCCATGTTCTGATCCATTCATAGTCCTTCCTGCCAGCTCGTGGCAGTCTGCATGTGACAAAGCAGCTAAATGGTGTCTTAGATGTGCACCAGGACACACCTGCTGAGCGCATGTAGCATAGAATCATGGCTCCTCCCACAGCATAGTGTCCGGAAGTGGATTGCACCCAGGGCTAGGAGTGTGTGTCCCTGGGGGGAGCCTGCTCACAGCTCCACGTGGTCAGGCCCATGGTGAGTGCTCACAGCTCCGCGTGGTCAGGCCCGTGGTGAGTGCTCACAGCTCCGCGTGGTCAGGCCCGTGGTGAGTGCTCACAGCTCCGCGTGGTCAGGCCCGTGGTGAGTGCTCACAGCTCCGCGTGGTCAGGCCCGTGGTGAGTGGTCACAGTTCCGCGTGGTCAGGCCCATGGTGAGTGCTCACAGGCAGCGGAAGGTCACCTGACCATGAAGGTCATGGGGGTTGATCCTGCCAGCTCTGGATCACCTAGGCTGCCTCTCTGCCTTTGCCCTCCCTGAAGCCTCCTGTGCTGGGTTTGGGCACGGACAGCAACAGGAAGACCCAGGAGCCAGAAGTGCCCCAACCTGGGGTCAAATGAGGTGCATTTCCATGGGGGGAGGGATGTCTGCATGCTTATCTCTACACAGATATGAGCATCCAGCAGCAGGTGTGTGCAGCTTGGGAAGGTTGGCCTGTCAGCAGAGCACCTGCCAGGGAGTCCTGAGCCCCCAGGAGCTGGGCCAGCTGTGTCCTAAGCACCAGCATTTCCTCCTTGCAAGCATTTCCCACAACTAGCCCCCGTTCTCACACACCTAGACGCCACTGCCTCTCCCTGCTCTTCTTTGGATAAGCTCCTGGTGCTGCAGGCCCACCTCCTGGCACCCCTTTGAACCTCCACCCTTTGCCATGCCTGGAGCTGCAGCCTTCCTGGCTCAGTCCTCAAGCTCCAGGAGCCCTGGCAGTCCTTCCCTTCCAGTTGCCTCCCACAAGGACTCATACAGATCCCTAGAAGATCAAGTGCCGCGTTGGCCTTCCCAGCTCAGCCCAGGCAGCCTTGTCCTGCACCACAACCTGCTGGTGCCAACCCTGGCTCACTGTGGGCAGCCGGTACCTGTGGTTGAATGAGTGAATGAGAAAAAAGCATAGTTATTATAGCCACAGGCAGCTCCTCTAACGAGACAAGACAGCGGATGTCCTCAATTGGAGAGGCACTGGGGAGGGGTCACCTTGTTGTGACATCCGTTTCTGCCATCCATCACCCTTCCCCACCCGAACACACACATTGCCCAGTGTCTCACAACATATATGCCTTAAGGAGAGAGATGGGTGTGTTTTCCAGCCACACTGGCCAGGAGGCCCAGCTTTTACTAGAGGATGCTGGCCATGGCCACATTGACCCCTGAGCTGTACTGACATTGCCACCTCAGGCACACAGAAAGGTGCACTGCTTTTGTGGGTAAGACAGAGGAGTCATTCTGGGAGCATGAATGTAGGCCCGTTTCATTTCGTATCTGCTGTTAAACCTAAGTATATGCTGTATACACAGTGGGCCCAACCTTTAACATACCCACTGCCACGGAGCTGGCACTGTTGTCCTTCCCAAGTGACAGGCCTGCCTCACCTTCAGCTGTCCTCGCTTCTAAGGTGGTGGTGAGACTGCAGGAACCCAGGTAGCTGTTCAGGGATGGAGATGAGCCACCTGCATCAGCGTTTTACCTTGGCCTCTGCTGGCGAGTGCTTGGCTTGGCCTGTGTTTCCCCAACTGGCTTGGGTGTGCAGATTCAGGAAGGAAAGAAACTTGGGCTGTGTGGGGGTGGAAGTGTATCCCAATCAATGGGGCTGAACTAAGGACCTAGGCAGAGAAGAGCGAGCCCCGGGGAATGCTGAAGCCATTCTGCATGGGGAGCTGGCCCTAGCTTCTGGCAGTGCCCAAGCTGCCACCTCCTTCATGGCTAGGGGCTCTGGGGCCTCTGCTGCTTCCCTGCAGGCCCCAGGGACAGGGCAGCCACCACCAGCCACCTGCACTTCAGGCATGCTGGCATCAGGACTGGCTAGGAGTGCCACACAACTTGAATGTTGTCTGTCTGTTTTTGTTTGTCTTTCTTGTGTTTCAGGAAAATGTACTTAGCTGTTTTTCTGTAGAAGAGGTAACAAAACAACAGGCCCCAGAGGTCTGAAAGCAAAGCCAAGTGTTCTAGATTTCTCCATCACCATGTTGGGGTTTGGGGATGTACTGAACTTTCTGAAGTGGTTACCAGAAGGACCACTATTGTGCCATCCATCCCACTCCCATCAGAAGCAGGACCTGGGTCAGAGGTACTGCAGACCTGGGTAGCCAGGAGACCAATTCCTGACACTCTTGAGCCTGTGCCCAAGCATGTGCAAGTCTGCCCCTGCACAGCATCCCTGCCTGTAGTTTCAGCCAGTAGGGAAAGTATGAGGTTGTCCCACTGTTGCAACTGGATTCTACGTAAAGGAAAACGGCAAGCCCCAAGGGCGGCTGGCAAAGGCCTGCTTGGGATGGATTATGTAGACATAGGTAACTGTTGCCGCTCTTCAGTGAGCCACATGGCATCTTCAGACCCCAGTGAGATGTACCGTGACTCCAGAGGACTGCTCCTGGCCTGGGATCTCACCATCCAGGCCTGGCCAGCCCCGTGGGCATTCGGTGGTGTGGACTGTGTCGGGTCCAGTTACTTTGGTCCTGCAGATGCTGCTGCCCCAGTGGACGCCCCAAACCTCTCCCTACATGCGAATCCCTCCCCACTCTTGTAGCCTCTGACTTAGCCAGTTGGGCTCACCACACAAGCAGGGGAGACCCCCTACCCAGATCTTGGCCCAGTCTGATCCTCATCACAGTCTGATTGCCCAGCTGCTGACCAGCTCTGAGACCCTCTTCCTCCTCTGTCCCAGCCACTCAAGAGGACATGCATCCATAAAAACCAAATAAAGCCCAACAAAAAATACCACATAACAGCTGATCTGGTACCTCAGTGGGATATCCCCTATTGTCCTTTGTCCTCACTGCCTGAGGCCCTGGGCACTGTGAGCTGTGTCACCAGCAGGGCCGAGTGACTGGCAGCCCTGGGGGTTCCTTTGCTCAGGTGAACAGGTGTTCACCCTTGAACCCACACAACCCTAAGCTCTGAATTGGGCACCGCACCCCTAGAAACTGAGGGGCCCAGGCTCAGCTTTGGGGGCCGCTCTGCTCCTGTTCTGAGGCTCTTTTTTCTGATTCTGTGAAATGGGGATCATTCTGACCATGCTAGCTCCACAGCACAGGGAGGAGCAAGTGTGCTCTGCATCCGTGGAATGGCCAGCAGGGCAGGGCACCCGTGGTCCCAGTTAGGCTGGGAGGGAAGCTTGGTGGAGACTCTCTGCAGTCAGAGACTGCCAGGCAGCTCCTGGCAGCTGCTAGCCCCCCGTCAGCTCCTGGCAGCTGCTAGCCCCCCGTCCCCGAGACGAGCCTGGTGCTCTTTGGGGTAATGCCTGAATATCAGCATCCACAAGGCACTGAGCAGGTTCAGGGCTGCCTGGAAATCAGATCTCTGACTTCTTGGCTGGAATCCATGTTGCTTTTGAGTTTAAGAGGCTCTTTTTCTTTTGCTTTCTGAAATGTGCTTGAGAGGATGGTGTGTGTGCGTGCAGGAGCAGACTGTGTCTGGGGTGCACATGGATTTCCATGTGTGTACATCTCAAGATTGACACATGCCCTTCTCCCTCTCCACATGGTGCTGGGTGAGGAGCTGTGTGGTCTTTTCCCCACTGGGATTCTTCAGCAAGCCTGCATGCTGTGATCTGTACGCCCGACAGGACAATGTGGAAAGCCAAGTCTACACCTAGCACAGCAGCATCGTCAGGTGTGGGGTCGTGACAATGTTGACATCACCCACACCTGCTCAGAGGGCTTGGGCATGGTCCCGGGCCCATGCAGGAATGAGCCATTTGTCAGCTTCAGGGTGGGGTATGCATCCTAGAACAAGTGCATCCTAGGGCTTGTCGGCTCCAAGCCCTTCTAGCCAAGCTGGCAGGTTGTGCTACAACAGCCTTGCTTTTGGTACCACAGATGGCTGAAATGGAAATGCATGTCATGTGTAAGACAAGCATTTCAGATGCAAGTCAGAGAGAGGCAGTAAACGGAGCAGAGTTGGATGAGGTGCCTCCAGCCGAGCGCCCACACTGCCTTCCGCCTGGGGCTTGTCCTTTTCCATATTTCCCCTCCCTCTTCTGGGGTATGCTGGGCAAAGGGCTTTCTGGATATGAAATTCAGGAAACTCCTCCCCAGGTTTTGTTACTGAATATTATCAGATGGGGAGAACCCAAGAAGCACTCTGCCTTGGTGTCAGACCAGGAAGTTCCCCTAGGTGTCTCCATGGGGGGAAGGTCAGAACCCCTGATCAGGTTAACCAGATGTGGGCAGGGCCTTGCTATTTCGATGCTGAGCTGCGTGGCTCTTCCCTCCCTTCTCCCTTCAGCCTCTTTCCCACACATAGGCTGTGGCCACTCTCTTCCTTGGCTTGTTAGATGGTTGGTGGTGTCCTGGTAAGTGCTTCATCCATTCAGCCAGTACGTCCTGGGTGCTTCCTTCTTGAACAGGTGGGCAAACGACAGACAGCATTGTTCCCATTTTTATCACCTCATTTCTGGCCTCAGGAGGGGCCTTTAGCTGCTGATGCTGCTGTGCTAGGTGTAGACTTGGCTTCCCACGTTGTCCTGTCGGGCGTACAGATCACAGCATGCAGGCTTGCTGAAGGGCCCCAGCTAGCTGCCCTCTGTCCATGGGTGTGCCATGGCAGTGACACTGTGTCAGCTCCACCCTGGGCGCCCAGGATTGCCATGGCAGGGACTGTCTCTCTGAGGTTCTACTGCTCTCCCTGCAGAGTGGCGGCAAGGAAGTGGGGCCAGGATGATCTTGCAGGATGAAGACATCACCACCAAAATTGAGAACGACTGGAAGAGACTCAACACATTGGCCCATTACCAGGTGAGGCGCTGTGGGAGAGGGGAGGAGCCAGCCAGCTCAGCATTCTCCCTGGGAATCCCAGCTCCCAGGCTGCATGCCACGTCCCAGCCCCTCTTCACCTGGACCGCCTGCTCCCACCAGCTCAGCATTCTCCCTGGGAATCCCAGCTCCCAGGCTGCATGCCACGTCCCAGCCCCTCTTCACCTGGACCGCCTGCTCCCAGACCACTGGCTCTAGAGAAACAGAGCTCCCCCAGCTCCGCCAGCAAACACCCTGCTGTCTTTGCAGATTGGATGCCAGCAAACACGGCTCCCACCCTTAGTCCTCCATCTCTCTGGCAAGACATCAACTGCCCCATAGGACCAAGCTAGTCCCCACTTGCCCTGCCTTGCTGGGCAGGCCCTGAGATGCCACTTCCCTGCAGGTGCCGGATGGTTCTGTGGTGGCTTTGGTGTCCAAGCAGGTGACAGCCTACAATGCAGTGAACAACTCCACCGTCTCCAGGACCTCAGCAAGCAAATATGGTAAAGAGCTCGCTACACGTCCTGCGTGGGGTGAGGCTGTCCTTGGCAGCTGCCGTCAGCCTGGCCATGCAGCTGCGGGGAGAGCTGCACTGGGCTGGGCTCCTGGCTGCAGCAGGCAGGGACGCCTACCCTCCTACCCTGTGCGTGCCTCCCAGAGTCCGGGAGCTGCATCCCCCTTCCGCTGCGCTCATTATCTCACATCAGGTTCATAACAATCCAGCGAATTAAATAATGATTATTTCCTGCTATTATGCAGATTAGGAAATGATCACCCAAGCGTGGAGAGGCTGAAGGAGCAGTAAAGGTCACGCTGCCGTGACTCTGGCGATGGGGACATGGGGAGGACCTGGAGCGATGAGGGGTGGGGTGTAGGTGACCGTGAGTCGCACTGTCCGGCTGGCACCTGTGTGCTTCCGGGCCAGTCCTCTGACCATGGTAAGCTTCGGTTTTCTTACCGGCAAAGCAGGTGGAAGCACTCGTCACAGTCCAGGGTCTGTCCAGCGTGCACAGCGCGTGGTTGGACTGAATCCCCTGCACCTGCTAGGTCCTTCTCTGTCATACCTGGCAGGCTCAGCTAACAAGCAGGAGGGTGGGCCCAGGCCAGAGAGGAGGACAGTGAACGGGACCCTGACCCTGTGCAACTGGCACAGTTCATTCAGGCACATGGCCTGCCTGCACTCTCGTGTGCTCAGCTGGAGACATGGGCTCATCCTGCCGCATGAGTCGAGAACGCTGAGTAGGAAAGGGCAAAGGCAGAGCAAGCTGCCAATGTCTGCAGAGTGAGTCACTCGGGGTTGATGCCGTGCCAAGCACAGGCAGATGGGTGGGTGAGGTCAGCCTCGGAGGGCTTCCTGGAGGTGGTGGAAGGGGATTGTACCAAATCCAGGCCAGGTTGCAGGGAGAGTCCGACAGCAGTTGCTGTGACTGGTACCAGCCAGGGCTGCACCACCAGCTCTCTCACAGGCTGGAACCATCCTTGCATTGGCAGAAAACATGATCCGGTACACGGGCAGCCCTGACAGCCTCCGCTCCCGGACGCCCATGATCACTCCTGAGCTGGAGAGTGGGGTGAAGCTGTGGCACCTGGTGAAGAACCATGAACACGGAGACCAGAAGGAGGGAGACCGGGGCAGCAAGATGGTGTCCGAGATCTACCTGACACGGTTGCTGGCCACCAAGGTATCCCGCCGGAGGCCTGCGAGGCATGCACCTACCCTCTCACCATGTGGGGAGCCCCCTAGCTGGTCCCCGTGCTGTCTGCCACCCAGGACAAGCCCCTGCAGGCCTCCCACCCCAGTGCTGTAGGCCAGACACACCCAGCTGCCAGGCTCTCTGACCCCGTCCTCTCCCTGTGCCTTCTCACTGCTCAGCCCCCTGCCTCCCTACCCCATGTCGTTCTGCCGTGCTGTGTGGAAGGGTGGGCTTCTTCTTGGGGTGGGCATCAGGGCCTGGGGCTCCAGCAGCAACCCCCAGGCACCGTCTCTGATCCTAGCTCTGGGAGACGTTCCCTGCCCAGTTTCCCCGCCTTCCCTCCTGGGACTGGGCTCGGCTCGGCTTTCTGCAGAATGAATGCTGCAGACTGCATGTGTGGGCCCTGACCAAACACATGCCTGTTAGCATCAGTGCAAAGTGCTTGAGCCAGTTGGCAGTCTGTGAGCAGGATGGGGCCTGGAAGACTTGCAGCAGACAGAGGGGCAAGGACAGGGATGCTTGCCAGTCAGGACTCCCCCTCCCCGGAAGCCCACACTCAGAGCACACGGCCCCTCCCCCAGGGCACGCTGCAGAAGTTTGTGGATGACCTTTTCGAGACCATCTTCAGCACAGCCCATCGGGGCTCTGCCCTGCCCCTGGCCATCAAGTACATGTTTGACTTCCTGGACGAGCAGGCTGACAAGCACGGCATTCATGACCCGCACGTGCGCCACACCTGGAAGAGCAACTGGTGAGTGGCGGGAGGCAGGGAGGGGGCAGGGTGAGGGAGGGGCATTGGGTGGCTGAGCATCCCTGCCAGTGCAGCCAAGGGCAGGCGCCTCCCTTGGCACTGCCCAGCCTCACCTGTCACGTTGCCCTGCTTGCTTCCTCTCTTCCTTCCTTCTGGTCAAAGGTGCCTGTACCTTTCTGTCTGTGATCAACTCCCCAGGTACCATCAGTGCTGAGTCAGGTAAATGAGCCAGTGTCCCAGCAGGCCACTTTCCCATGAAGGTGCCACCTTGTCCCGGCAGGCCACTTTCCCATGAGGGTGCCACCTGATGAGCCGGTGTCCCAGCAGGCTGCTTTCCCATGAAGGTGCCACCTGATGAGCTGGTGTCCCAGCAGGCCACTTTCCCATGAAGGTGCCACCTTGTCCCGGCAGGCCACTTTCCCATGAGGGTGCCACCTGATGAGCCGGTGTCCCGGCAGGCTGCTTTCCCATGAAGGTGCCACCTGATGAGCTGGTGTCCCAGCAGGCCGCTTTCCCATGAAGGTGCCACCTGGGCATTGAGGATCATAGCCCCTGTTCTCCATAAGCCCGCAGATGGTGGGAGACAAGGTTAGCCAGCCATGTGCAGACACAAGCCAGGGTTGAAGACACACTCAGTTCTCCTTATGAGATGGGGTGGCGTCTAATAGCCACTCACAGTCAAGAAGTGTGCCTAGGCATGCTCTGTCCATATCACAGCTCCTTTTCCAACCTCTGGATGGGAGATGTGCTCCTGGCCCCTGCCCTCTGCGTCTGAGACTGTCACTCTAGTGTTCTCTGCCGTGACACCCTCTCTCCTTTCTGCCTCCATCATCCTTTTGTCTCGGTCCTGTGTAGTTCGTCTCTCAGGCTGCCACTGCAAGGTCAGACATCAGCAATCAGCACTTGGCACTGGACTTGGCCCAGAGCTGGGACTCGGGAGCTACTGATAGGAAGCAGAATCCAAAAGGCCACTGCCTCAGTGAAGTGGGTTTATAAGTAACTGTCGCTTCCATGGTTGCCTGCAGCTTGCATGTGTCCCCTGGCCCAGGTTGCTCTCCTCCAGGGCTGTTGTCCAAGGTAGCTGAGTCCATGACCCAGGGCCTTCTCCTGCAAAGGCCAGCACAGCCCCAGGGTGCAACCAGACACGAGACAACCAGCCCTGAACCCTGGGTTCCTGGGGTTCCTGTGCCCTCCATCTAAAGTCCTGTGGGCCACCTGCTGCCTTCTGATGCCCACCCCTCTGGGAAGTGGCATTTCATTCTTTCCCCAGGGTTCTTCCAAGACTCACCAGCTACTTGTGTCTCCCTGCTTATACCTGCACCTCAATATCCCCAACCTTGAGGATGCAGGAAATCCCTACCCAGACTTCTCTTGCATCCCTCGGCAGCCCAACAGAGCATCACTTAGCCTAGCTCTAAGCCGTCTGCTTTCCGCCTGTCCCCCTGCTGGGGCACGGCCATCACAGAGGTGCTGTATGTTGTTAGCGCGGAGTCAGATGCTTTTTTACATATTCATTTATTTTCAAAGATTTTTTTATTTATTGAAAGAGTGGCACAGAAGGAGAGATCTTTGATCCCCTAGGCCAAAGTCAAGAGCCTGGAATCATTGCAGGGTGCAAGCAAGATCACACCAAACAAGCCTAGGGTTTATTAAGGAGTCTTTATTAACCAAGCTTGGTGATAGCAGCACCCACTAGAAATTAGCAAATGACAAGTTTATGTGATAATCCAGTCAAAATCAAAACCCCGAGAGGAGCAAATGGTCAGTGCCCTGAAGTCCACCTTCAAAGATCTATATCCCAGCTTCTCCAGCAATAGAAGTTATCCTAAGAGACATGCAGCAAACAGCCTGGACACACTTACAAAGCTGCAGACATTCACCTTCCCCTGGCCTCTCTGCCCACATTCCATTACTGCTAGGCCTCACCTCTCCTGGAACTCTTGAAAGTACACAAAGTAGAAATACAAAGCATCTTAGCATTAACATCTTCACTGTCCTGCCCAAGCGGTGAACAGAGGGTGAGGAATACAGACACACAGGGGCCAGCTGTCCTCAGAGTCTGTCCGCAGGAAGCCAGAGAGCAGGTGGGCACTGGGGAGGCCGAGAGTCTGAGTGCCAGAGTGACAGAGCACAAGGCCGAGAGAGCCCCTCCCTGCCATGGGCCTTTATGGGGGCCTGCAGGGGGCATGATTATGCAAGACTACAACACAGTGCCCTCTCAGGCTCCAGATGATGACAGGTGAATGTCACGGGTGGGCAGGAGGGACCACATACGTGGGGGGTGGGGAGCGGTTTCCGAGCTTGTGAGCCTGAGTTAGCTGCCTCCTCCACAACAGAATCCCATCAGGGCGTCAGGGGTGTGAGCTATCTTCTACTGCTTTCCCAGGAGCATTAGCAGGGAGCTGGGTCAGAAGTAGAGTAGCGAGGCCTCAAATCAGTGCTCTAACATGGGCTGTCTGCATTGCATGCGGCTGCTAAGCCCACTGCACCGCAACTCGTGTGCTCTTCCAACGTTCCGCTGTGGCCACAGAAAGTCCAGGTTCAGGTGCCGGGGCCCCTAGGCAGTAATCGCAGCAGACATTCATCTCTCTCCCCAGACCTCTTTCCCTGACCCTGGCTGTGTAAGGACTTCTTAGTGGTTCATTCAGCAAAGATGAGATTCGCCTGTTGACTTGGAATCCGTTGTCCCTGATACAAAAAGGGTGGATTCTTCATTCCTGGCCCAAGGTGTAACTCACCCTCTCCCCTCCCCCTTCACCCCACCTTTTCTGTTTTAAATCAACCTCCTGCCCATTTAACCTGAGTGGCTGCAATCAGCCAGAGCTGAGTGCCACCACTAATGTTAATAATATGTTAATATTTCATTAGGCTGGAGCCTGGGGTGCCGCTTCCCTGTATGATGTACCTGCCATCATCAGCTGCTTGAGGCAGAGGCAGGTAGCGGAGAAGCAGCCAGGGCAGGAATTGTGGACTTCCAGGGCCTCTGTTCCAGAAGGCACTGCTGGAAAACTAGGGAGGTGTGGGCAGACCTCATGAGCAGGAAGCTTGGCGTCCCTCAACCCCAGGGACCTGGGTCATGGTCTCCCCTTGGGCAGCAGGGGCCACTGCACTGACTCCCACCTTTTAGTATTGGGACTCCCTGAGCCATCCCTGGGTGCGTGCCTGCTATTTCCATGGACTTCCCACGATGAAGCACCAGCCAGCACACATTGGGGCAGAGACTGAGCCCTGAACTACACGCGTGCGGGCACCTGGGTGTCAGTTGGTTGAGTGGCCATCTTGCCTGCTGGGCTCACCGTTGTTTATAATGTGTGCTCTTTGCACATACTGGCTGCTGGCTTATTTAACAAGTACAGAAATATCACACCTGTTTGGGAAATAATGCAGTTCAAAGAGTTGAAGATCTAAGAGGCAAGCCAGGAGCGCAGCAGTGTCGGAGCTACTGCAACAGTGAGAAGGGCTGCCGAGCAGCAAGAAAATGTTGGGAGATGTGGCGGGGGCGGGGTGGAGGGCAAGGCGGTGGGCACAGAGAGGAGGGTGGGGTGCTCCTATCCCTCCCTCACCTGCAGCACATGCCAGGTGTCTCGCCGTGCCCAGTGACCGTTCTAGCAGTAGGTACAGTGCCTCAGTGGCCCTACAACAAGGCATGGTCCTTCTCTCTGTGCTGAGTCCGCTGCTGTAGCCCAGCCTCCACCCTTTACGCTTGGGAAAGCTCAGGCGTGCTTTATGGCTCAGACGACCGTGCGCCTCTGGGAAGGCAGCCTTCTTTGGTCTCTTTGTAAACACTCCATGTTCTGGTCCAGAGAGCGTTCTCAAGCAGTGTTGAGTCTCCAAGTCCTCTCCTGGACTGTCTTCCTTCTCTCTTCCCACAGCTTGCCCTTGCGGTTCTGGGTCAACATGATCAAGAACCCACAGTTCGTGTTCGACATTCACAAGAACAGCATCACGGACGCCTGCCTGTCGGTGGTGGCCCAGACCTTCATGGACTCCTGCTCCACGTCGGAGCACCGCCTGGGCAAGGACTCGCCCTCCAACAAGCTGCTATACGCCAAGGACATCCCCAGCTACAAGAACTGGGTGGAAAGGTGAGTGCTGGCCGGGGAGCTGAGTGAGAGCCCCTGGCTGGATAAGCACTGAGTGAGACCCCTTCCCTTCCAGCTTGTCGTTCTCCCTCATCCCACATGCCATGGCCCCCGTCGGTCATTCATAGAAATAACAGTGAAATAAGAGCTAGGAACTTGGGCCCGCAGTCACAACTGGGATATGCTTCCTTGTGCTGGAGGCCCCAGAGCTTAGTGCTGGGGGGTGACTTGTTCCTTGCTGTAATCCCCAACCAAATAAAGCATGCATTTCAGTATGCAAGCAGACATCCACATGCACGCGACTTACATGCACACACAGTCTGAAATAATAGAGTCCCAAGGGATGGAATGACCTTTAGTCACACTGCCAACTCTCCTGTCTGGCTGGCTGTCCCTGTGTTCCATGAAAATGGTCATCATTGCTATGATCACTCCTGTGTCTCCCACAGGAGGTTACGGGGCTTCTGGGCATCCCCGGTGGAGACCAGGCAGGGGAGAAGGGACAGGCTTATGAGGGAGGGAGTCTGAACACACTGATGTCTGCAGGGCTGGCTCTGCTGAAGTGAAGCTGACCACTGCTGAGCCACAGGTGGTCTCACCTGGGAGCTGAGCGGGCTCAGGGCGAGGCGCTGCGGGCTCTGGGGTTATCCTGCGAGGGGCTCAACTGCCTCCCTCGCTCAGCAGCCACCAGGTCACTCAGGAATGGCATTGTTTGCCTTGGCGAGGCTCTAGCCCCTTCCACTGCTTCTTCTGGTGGGAGAGTCCATGAAGCGGAGTGTTCCTTCAGCTGGTGATGAAGCAATGATGCCACTCTGAGCCCGGGAGGCTGCCCGAGCCTGCCTGGCTCTGAGCAGGGAAGCTTTAGAGCACTGACTCTCATCGGGTCCACAGCCTGGTCCCCAGCTGCCCCTCCAGAATGAATGGCTGCCTCCAATGCCCTGGAGGGGAGTGTGTTGTCCTGCTGCTGGGTGAGCCATCGGGGACTTGGACTGAGTGACCTGTTGCAGGAGACCATGCTTTTCTCACATTTGGGGGCCTTGCAAATGATCAGAGCTGAGAAATGGGCTGACTGGGGCTGCTGCTCCTCAGGCTGGTAAAAGACGTGAGCACAGGCTGGGACTTTGTAAATAGCATTCATGCTTCAGTCAGCACTTTCATGGTCCAGAAAGTTCTTCATCCTCTAGTTCGTCCTCTCATCCCTCACCAGTCCTCCACATCCCCATCGTTAGGTGGGTCACCCCCCACCTCCCTGTCCGTCCTCTCACCCATCTTACCCCCTCATCCAGCCTTCCCACCCTCGCCCACCTTCCCCACCTCATCTCTGTCTACCCATTCTCTGTCCTCCATCACCTTATCATCACCCCATCCTCCCATCCTTCCTCCAGTCCTTCCTCCGAACCACGCCTCACCCATCCTCCCATCCTTCCTCATGCTCGTACCCTCAACCCTGCTCCAATCTAAACTCCTGGTGACACCCATGTCTGTCGCCCACACCATCTCAGTCTTCACTACCTGTACTAAACCATGCTGGCTTCTGCCTGTGGTCTCATCTACACAAATGGGGAGAGTCTCTTTGTTTCCCATTACAGCTATCTCTACATTCATCTCACAGGACAGCAGTCAATAATGTTGTCATTCAGAACATGACCGTGTCTCGTGACCAGTTGTAATTTTACCAATAGTGGTACAGTTCGCGTCACTTGGCAGTAACGCTGTCTGGTTTCAACTTGGAATTTTCATGGCTATCCCTGTGGCAGCACTGGCCTCCCTCATTCCTTGTCAATTGGCTTCCCCATGTAGGAAAGCAGTAAAGTCACAGCTGGCCCCTGGGACTGGGCCAGGGGTATCACACACTTAAGTGCCATCCATCACATGTGTCATGGCATGAGAAGGGCTACGAATTTTAAGAGCTTAAATATGCTTCCTAAGGAAACAGTGCATTCAGACATAAAGCTGTGCAGGGCGCCGTGGGAGCAATGCGGGGGAGCTATGGACATGTCATTAACGTATGCATTAATCCAGGGCCAGACACTGATGATCTTCATCACGGTTCTGTTGGGCATGTGGGATACATCAGACTCCATCCTTTCCTCAGGCTCCTGGTGAAGGAAACCAGCAGGTGCCCAGAAGGCCCTATGAGCTGTAGCAGTGGAAAGGGGGAGGGGTGCTGTGAGATCCAGTCCCTGAGGCTGCTGGGTCCAGAGTGATGAGCCAGTGGTTGTCATAGCAAAGGACTCCCCTGCAGCACCTCAACATGCAGGTGCTGGGCACATCAGAGCACCAGGATCAAAACAGCCTTCACTTTGCTCGGAGATTTTGGATGGGGTGCCAACACTCTTCTCATCAGAGACCACCTCCCTTGTCGCTAGGAGGCTCTCCCAAAGGCAGAGGCCACACCATGCAGTGTGTGCCTGCAGTTCCTGCCAACACCGTACCCCACTGCAGACTGGTCAACAGTGAAAAATCCATCTCGATACCTTGTCTTTGGAGCAGACCCCCAGGACTGATGCCAGGCCCCCAAGGATGCTGGCGTCTTACCTGTGTGAGCAAACTCAGCTACAGAGCTGGATAAAGCCAGCCTTCCACCTGCCAGGCTTTGGCCAGCTTAGGAGGGGTCTTGGGGGCGGGGAGGGGATGACTTGGAGAGCACTTTGTGAAGAAAGGCAGAGATCTTGTGGAAGCCAGCTGTAGCCACTTAGCCTGCTGATGGGAACCTGCGTTGGAAGCTCTTTGACATGGTTTGATTGGCGTCTGCCCATCAACGAGGCTTCTCAGCTGAGTCTGGCCAGAGGCCAGTGCAGCAGGGTCAAGGAGGGTGCCGCACAGGCCATCAGGTTCGGGATGTTGGCTAGGGTCGGTGGGCCTGGCAGAGCCCTGAGGTTAGGTGTGGGTGTGGTCAGGGCAACAGCAGAGCCCCGCGGAGAGGCAGGACTGGAGTGGAAAACAGATGAGAAAGTGAGCACATCTCCAAGCCTCCCATCAGTGAGGACATGGGGCTGTTATCCAAGCTAGACCATGTATGCACAGTGCACCTGTGGACAGTGCATGGCCACTGAGATGCACCGAGCCAGGCCAGCTCTCTCAGTGCAAAGGCTGCTCCACGTGGACCTGGCCTCACTGTCAGACAAGGAAGGCAGGGCACTGCTGAGGATGTGCTGGGTGTGGCAAAGGGTCCCTCAGCTCCAGGCAGAGCCCCGCCATCTTCCTCCCTCTCCCTCTCACACACGTGCTTTCCAAATATTCCCCTTGGATAAATTGGGCCTGGGCTTCCAGGGCTCCACCCAAGGAGAGCCTGGAGTGAGGGGACCAAGTGCTGAGCATCTGCTATTGGCCAAGAGGAGAGGGGCTGCCTTCACCTCGAGACAGCATCCTAGCTGTGGTGTTCATGGGCTCCGGGAGCCACCCAGGAGCCCCAATGACTGTGACTTCTCTCTGGGAACCCCTGCCCAGAGGCTCCAGCTGAGAGGCTCCCTGCTGGAGAGTGCTGAGACAGACTGAAAAAGGCATGGGGCCGGGGAATGGACTGTCCTGAGGCCTCTGAGGATAGCCACTGTGTTCCTCTGGCCAGGCCTGGAACCTGGCACCGGCACCATTCCAATCCAAAGAGGAGTGCTACCCACCACCTTGGTGCCCAGTGCCTTACTGGTCCCCATCCCCACTGCTGGCGGCTTCCCCGCCCTGCGCAGGGCCTGCTCCGGTCTGAGTGGATACTCCAGGTTTCTGATGCCTCCTGTGTTGTCCGTGACTTGTTCTCTCCCATCCCACCCATGAGCCCGAAAGCACGTAGGAGAGGAGAGATGTGGCCATCTCTGTGGGGCCAGAGGCCTTCCGGTTCCTCATTAGGAAACCACACCACTCCCCTCTGGCAGGGGGAGCCGGGGGTTAGTGCATAAAATGTCAAATTACAGAAATTAAAAATGTAAATGCTGGCATCTAATTAAGCAGTTGACAGCAGTGCACAGCTGCAAGTGACAGAGATTGATTGCTCTATGCCAGCCTTTCTCCCCAGCAGCCCCAGCCCCGCCCCCTCCCTGTAACACCCCTCCACCCAGAGGGAAAGCAGAGGTATCAGGAGAAGCCCCTGGGCCTGCAGGAAGACACCTCCTGTGTCTGGAGAATAAGGTATTAAAGGGGCATGTGTCTGCCTGGGCCCCTGGCTAGGGGCAGGGTGGATGGCTGAGGCCTATGTCTACCCCACAGTGGTGCCTTGGTGCGTCCCAAATCCCTGCCTTGTGTGTCTTCTGCAGCTGCAGCTACCCCAGGAGCCCAGGCGTCTCAGCTCAGATGCCCCCTCCCTGCAGCGCAGGTTGGGTCTGTGGCCCACAGACATGGCGCTGGGAGGCCTGGTTCTCCTGGCCACTCCAAGCTCATGGCTGCAGCATCTCCCCATTCCCGCCCCTCGGCAGGTATTACTCGGACATCGGAAAGATGCCTGCCATCAGCGACCAGGACATGAATGCATACCTGGCTGAGCAGTCGAGAATGCACATGAATGAGTTCAACACCATGAGCGCTCTCTCTGAGATCTTCTCCTACGTGGGCAAATACAGTGAGGAGGTGGGCCTGCCTGCTTGGGTCCTGGGCCTGGAGGGGACAGAGGTGGGAGGCAGCTTGCATGCCACCATGTGCACGGACATGCGCCCCACTTGTGCCCAGAGGAAAGTCTACCAGTCAGGACAAAAGAGTGAATACTATGAAATGCCCCACCCTACAGCTCTGTGCTTCACTCAGACATACAAAGATCTGCTTCTTTTGTTTTTTTAATCCACTCTCTCCAGTATTTCCGCTTTTCCATTTTTCTGATTTTATGTCTAAAGATTTATCTTATTTATTTTGAAAGAATTCTGCACAGAGAGAGTCCATCTGCTGGCGCACTGGCCCTGGCCCTCAGCTCCTGAAATGGATACAATGGCTGGGGGTGGGCTAGGCCAAAGCTGTGAGCCAAGAGCTTGCTTCCAGTCTCCCACGTGGGTGCAGGACCCAAGGACTTGAGCTGTCCTTTGCTGCTTTTCCAGGTTCCTCAGCAGGGAGCTGGATAACAAATAAAAGAGCTATGGTGGCTTAGCCTGCCACATGACCACATCAACCCGCTGATTTAATCTTTCAGCAAGCACTGCCCTGCTTCCAGGAGCAAGCCATATGGTTTGGTGGAGCTTGGTGTGGAATGGAACAGGATGCAGTAGAGCAGGATCAAAGTTAACAAAATTCAAGTAAGAACAGAAAAAACTGTGCTTTTCCTTCTCTAGATAAAGAGAAAGCCGCTCCTGGAGGAAATTGCCACGATAGACCCTAATTCTCCTGGCCAGTACAAAGTTACTGCGGGAGTTTTCTTGGCCATGCTGCCATAAAGCAAGTGGGTGCAGAATCCAGGCCCCTGGCATCCAAGCCAGTCCTCCTGGGAGCAGTAGGAACAGGAGAGTCCTGCACAGTCTACTTGGTCACAGCCTCGTAACTCAAGGATGGACTATGAACTCAAGACTCAAGAACCAGCTGTGGGAGTCCACTCCATGGACGGCAGCATTCTGTGGTCCTCAAGTCAAGGGAAAGCCAGTCTTAGAGGGAAGGGGTTCCTTGATGTCCGTCTGCGGGCCAGCACTGCAGGTCAGGGCAAGCTAATGAGGCTGATGGAGAAGGTGCCACTGCTTACAGCCAGCTTACCCTGGAAGGAATCCCCTACCTCCAGTCACACTTGTCCACTTTTACTGTTAAAATGTTCCCATCATTATACCAGGGGGCCCCAAAATGCCAGTTCTTGGCCAGCTCAGAAGTGGGCAACTCTACATTAATTTTAATGATTTGAAATACATAAACGTGGTCATGAAATCCAAACTTCAAGGAGCTTCCTTTGAGCCTGTGGCTTCCGCCTTCCCTCCCTCAGCCCTGCCTCTGCACCCACCCTCAATCTCCACCAGCAGTTGATTCCAGCCATTGGCCGTGTGCTTCCCATGAAGCAGGCATTGTACTAGGGGCACGCCTGTGTGTGCTCCCTCCATCAGAGCAGTCTTGGATGGGTAGGTAAGGCCTGAGAGTCTAGAGAAGAGTATGGATTCAAAGACTTGGTCTGCTTCGTCCCAGATCTCCCAGGCAGACTGGTATAGTCACCACTCAGCCCCAAATCCCGGGTCTGTGCAGAATCCTGAGACGTTTGCACATGCACTCACCCATCATCTGATCTCAGAAAAGGCTCAGCAGACCTTATGCTCGGGGTTCATAACCAGTAAAGCTGTGCTCTCACTCTTCAAGAAGTATTTTTTTAACAGTAATGTTAAAACAAATGAGCTTCCCAGTTTGTAAATAAAAGGAGCTAAAGGGAAGGAAGGATGGGACTCCTAGATCCATAAATCCCAACCTCATGCGAAGGGAAGCCCAACGCTGTGTCCCCTGCAAGTTACTGTGATGTCTAGGCACAGATGTCGTCAACAAAGTGGTGCCCTATATGTTGGCTGCCAACTGTGGGCAGTAGACACCTGTGTTTGGTCAGACATGGTGGTGCGTGTGTTGGCATCTTTGCTGATTGCCAGCTGGGTGCCCACACTGCCTGCTTGCCCAGCAGTGTCCCGGGTGCCTCTTCAGGTGGTGTGTCTTCCACATTGTGTGTATGTGTGTGTGGTTGTGCCCGATGAACACAGGCCTGTGCTCACAAGTAGTAACCTCCCTGCTCTTGTCTTTGCACAGATTCTGGGACCTCTAGACCATGATGACCAGTGTGGGAAGCAGAAGTTGGCCTACAAACTAGAGCAAGTCATGGCCCTCCTGAGCTTAGACAGCTGAGAACCGTCCTTTCCAGGGCCACCCTGGAGGGAGGGACACACCAAGCCGTGCCTCAGTCTAGATTATCATCTTTACCAAGTGCAAGTCCGACTGGCATCAGCAGCATCCCCCGGGCAGCGCTGCCCGTCTCTGCCCTCACCCCCACGCCCATCTCTCCCTCCTTCCTGACTCCCCCATCTTTCAGTTGCTCTGTCAACAAGGCTGGACCAGGTCACTGACTCTACATTGGTTCCAGGATTGGCCAGAATCCATCTAAGGAACCTGGCCAAGATGCCAGTGGAGGATTTCTCCCGCCAGCTAACCCCTTTGACCGGCCGTGGGGCCCAAGCATGGACAGAGGCTATTTGGGGCCCAGCTGCAAACCTTGGCCTAGGGAAGAGGCTGTGAGCTCACTGTTGCCTCCGCTGGGAAGACAGCACCAGACACCCGCTTCCCACAGTGTCATGTCCCAGGGATCAGTCAGTGATCTTGGTGCTTCGCAATTGCAAGAGGAACCACACCTTCCATCGATGCCAGAGCAGGGAACGTGGGATCAGTGGAAGATGCTCCTCGAGGCCATCTCCCATCTGTTGGGCCGTCTCCTGGAGACCTCCTGTCCCATCCCAATCTCCGTGAAGCCCCTCCGAGTGTCCACAGGAACCAGCATCTGCTCAGCTGGTGGAAGAAAGAATGACAGTGACATTCCAGCATGAGACACTCCCAGCTAACAGCAGAGGGAGAAAAGGAGAGAACTGCATCTACTCCAGAAAGATAATCTGTTGTTTTTCGTGAATCCCCAAATCCAAATGTTTACGACCATAGTCATGATCGCAGTTCATGCCAGAATCTGGAGCTCTGTCCAGAGAAAGCGCCTCCACCTGCCTTCAACACCCTTCCTTGGAGGGGTCAGTGTGGAATGCGAAGGGACGTGCACCCGGGAGATTCTACCTCCAGCCATCTCCGTGGCTCCCTCCTCGCCATCCCTCCTGGGAACTGCATAGAAGGCTGGGGTGGACAGCCCAGGTCCTGTTCCCCCTGCAGAATCTGGTGCCATTGCTATGCAGTTGATGTTGTCACTGGACCATCCAGACCTCCTTGGGAATTAGTTCATCAACATCTTTCTCTATAGTTTCTTCTTCCATCTCATCTCTTCAGCGGTCGCCATGGACAGAACTGCACACAAGCACAGGCACCCCGAGACAAACCAAAATATGTCGGCCAATCTCAGCTGCCTGGCGCGGCGTGTCTGGGACAGGTAGTCCTTGCTGGAAGTGAGAGGGACATAAGGTGGCCTTGGCCTGACAGCCATCTGTCCTTCTGTCCTTCCGTCTGGGGACATACCTTTTTTGTGTGTGTGCCAGTTGGGCAAGTGTGCCCTCAGAGCCAAGGGCCAGGTGAGCAAGGACAATGGTGAGAGGTGTGCCGCTGGAAGGTCCTAGGAACCTGTAGGGGACCCAGGATGCCTTCTGGCCCTGTCTCTTCCATGAGCAGGGGTCACTCCTGGTGGCTCCAATCTGCTGTACCCCCTCGGGGAGACAAGGAGCGGCGTGGAAGGTGGCTTTGAGGATCGGGATCCCACAGTCTTGCTTTCATGCCCCAAGCATCAAGACGGCCATCTTGCCATCCACTCCAAAGGAGCCCCACGTGGGGGGGGAACCACATGGTACCCCACAAAGCCTACCCAGCATCCTGCACTTTTCAGAGTACTAGTTCCTTTGGAGATGAATGAGTGTGGTGTGTGTGAGCTCATGTGTGTGTGTGTACATGTGTGTGCGTGCCCCAGGAGTAAGCAGTGAGCTCCTAAAGCTTTCCTGACCTATGAGGGATTCTGAAGTGCTTCCTTCTCCATCTGCTCGGCAGTCGGTTCAGCCTGCAGCAGCTTCGGGACATTGCACACTTGCTCTGTACAGCGAGCAATGGTGAGCAAAAGGAGAGGTCAGCTGTCTATAGGAAATCAGGGTGGTCTCCTGCCGAGGTCTGGACTGCAGCGACCCCAAGCAGGACAACATGCGGCATTGTGGAGGACAAAGTGGTGTAGAGACACGAGCTGTCTAAGAAACAGGAAGAGGTGAAGGGGGAAGACACGTCTGATGGAGAGAAAGTCAACCAAAGGCTTTGCCGGATGAAAGCCAGGACGAGATGCCTGGCCATGTCCCTGCCAAGAAGCCTGGGACCTGGCAGGCCACTGATGCTGTGTGCGTGGGAGGGGTGGTTTTGCACATGGGCGGGCTGGGGAGGAGACGCAGGCATATTTAACACAGATTTACTGGATGGAAGCGGGTGTGAGTGAGTATATGAGTGTGTGCGTTTTGATTTATTTTAAGTTTTGCACAGCTAAAGCAAACAAATGAACAAACAGAAAAAAAAAGACTGTTATTATGGTTTTACTGAAGCTTTTATTTTTTACTCATGATGTTGATTGTTATTGTTGCTTTGTCGATACAGGACCTTCATTCCCATATTTTCATTATAAGAAAAATTTCACACACCTCCGAGAAACATACGTGTCAGGAAGGAGGAAGAGCGAGGACAGATGAGGCTCCCGGCCCAGGCTTTGGGGCAGTCATGTGGTGTTTTTCTCTGGCACTTTGGTGTCCACAGTTGCTGGGACCTGCTTGGGAACAGGGAAGTCAGCCGGCCACTCAGAGCCACAGCCCACCCCGCCGACAAAGATGCTGCTGCTTTGTAGGCTTCCATTTCTTCCCTTTGGATTCCTGGTGTGCAGAGCAACCACAGGCATCATTACCTGATCTTGGTGCCTTCCCCTGGGTGAGGGCCCTTCCCCACTCCACTGGGAGGGCCTGCAGGCTCCTGAGAATCAGGGAGTGGTGCAAACTTAGGCTTGGAGCTGCCCTCAGCTCGGTGTGGTAGCCCACTGGCAGGGTCACATATCTGCTGAAAGCAAGCCTTTAGGCGAAGAGCAGAAGCTGCTTCCCTTCTCTCTCCCCCTCGCTCTGCACCCTCCTGCCTTGCAGTCCACAGGGTCTGCAGTCACAGTGGCACAGCTGAGCAGATGAGGTGAGGGGTTTGGATGCTGGAGGGAAGGGGACAGAAGCCTCATGGCACAGGGGAGGGGGTCAGTTTGATGGGGTCCTGAATCAGAAAAAAAATAAGTAGAGGAAGCTGAGAAAGAGCTGTGGGCCCCATTCTCTGTCCTTCCCTGTAGGAGAAACCCTGATGTTTCTTGGTAATGCAAATAATGTGGGCAAGGTAAGATTGGCGATGGCATCCATTGCTTCCTCAGGAAAATATTTTCTTGCCTCCTTCGTTCCATAGGGTTTTAAACTTAGGGACAGTGGACAACTCAAGTGTCTCGTACATTAAGGTATGTCGTTGCGATCCTGGATGACAGGTGAATCCAGAGCCAACTCCAGGAGAACCTCTGTGAGACCCTGGCTAGGGCGCTTCACCCTGCAAGAGAGGTTGATGGAAGTAAATCCTGAAGTTTGAAGCCAACTGCTGCTCAGGGCTGTGCCCAGGGAGAAGCATGAGCTGCTGGTGTTGAGGTCTCTGCTCCCTCCTGCGCCCAGTCCCGAAGGTCGATCTACCAGCCTGAGGTCAGCCCATCTCTGTGTTCCATCCTGGAATCAGGCCCGCACCTTCCCACCCACGATGTCCCTGGTGCTCTCAACCTGTTGCATGTCTGGCTTCTGACTGTAGCCCTCTGCCTGCTCCTGCCCCCTTCCTGCCTCACCCCTACGCAGCCTGGAGGTGTGACCTCCTCCCGTGACCACCCACTCTGCCCATAGTTGCTCCTCTGAGTGACAGGGTCTCCCTCACTGAGCAAGCCTAAATCCTTCCCCTCTCAGATAGCCACAGCAACGATGTCTCAAATGACCTCCCCTCAGAGGCAGCACGGCTATGGATGCCTCAACGATGCTGTGATGCAGTCTCCGTGTAATCACCACTTGCATTGCCCCAACATGGCAAGTGTCCTTCCCACCCTCTTTCTTCCCTAGGACTAAGGGACATTCCCTTTGAATTCACAGGGTGCACCAATGCTGACGGAGTGAGCACCAATGCTCCCACTGGCCCCCCACTGTCTCTGCCTTGTGGGCTGGGGCACTAGGGGTGGATAGACTGGCGCAGGGACATGCTCCCTCTGCTGGCTCGGATGCTGCTGTCAAGGCTTTCAGAACAGGTGACTGCAGGGAGCAGGGAACCCCTCCAAGCTCCTGAGGGCACTGCTGTGAAAAGGCCTCTGCCCAGGTAGCTAGCGTCCTGGCACTGCCAAAAAGCCCTGCCCCCTGGCCCCTCCAGTTTGCCAAGGCTGCACAGGTGCTTTCAATAGTTATTTGCTCCTTGTGTATCTTCAGAGTTTGAGAGTAAGGGGAGAGCGCAGGAGCAAAGTGGGGACTGCTAAGGAGGAACTTGGGGAACAGGGGAGTCCCCTCCTCCACCCCCACTGACAGAGGTCAGGGTAGTGACCCCAAGGAGGTGGCCATGCAGGGGAAGGTTCTGGCAGCTGCCATTAGTCTTGGTCTCCCCTGCCCATAGCCTTGCCACTTGGAGGGAAGCTGAGACACAGCCCCTGGCATTATGGGCATGGTGACTTCCGAGGGTGGCAGGGCCCTGGATTTCAAGGTGGCATGGCCACCCTCCCACTGAAATAATCCCTGCGGCAAAACCCAGACAAGCAAGCTACGCTCTCACCACAAAGTACTGCTGCCCAATCAAATTATTTTTAGTAGGGTGAGTATCCAAGTTTAAAATATATATATGGGATTTGGGCGGGGGCAGTGTTGTAAAAGGATTACATAACCCTTCGGAGTCCCAGTCACTCTGCCTTCAGCAGACTGGTGGCTACTTAAAGGTAAGAAAAACAAATCTTTAAGGAACAAAAATATTTTTGTGTTTTCAGGGACAGAAGAGGGGCCAGGTAGGTCAGGGCAAACCCACTCGAGCGCCTTGACTCACAGAGGGGCTCACCAAGCTGCCTGGGGAGTGCTGACCCCACCTTTCTCATCCCCTCCCCACTGTGGAGGAGCCCCATGGAGACCTGGCCATGGGAGCACCCAAGTGCTCCTTCTGCAAGAACGTGAAAGCAAGCAGATGTGGTCTACATGACTCATCATCTCCCAATTTCTTTATCTGGGTTAGAACTTTTTTTTTCAGTATCTTTGATCTTTATAAGGCAAGCACATTTGGGAAGGGCCCCCTTACCAGAGCAGAATTCAAAACAAAGGACATGGTTTGTGAGCCGTCCACAGGACTCTGCCCAAACCGAGACCTGTGGCCAAGGCAGCACTGAGGGGCACTTCCAAGTCAGAGGCTGGTGCCAAGAGAGGGCCTTGAACATGCCTACCCAATACTTCGTTTCCTCTGCTCAGGTTTGAGTCT